AACTTCTTGAAAAAGAAGTGGAAGGACTTAAGTTTAAATCGTTGCATACACAAGAATCTGCGTCCATGAATCGCGTGAATTATAACAAGATGATTGCCGAATGTCAAGAACGTAGTCAGCGAGCAAAAAATATAATCGTATGCGGTGTCATAGAAGCCACCTCTGAAAATGCTATAGAAAGATTGGAATATGACAGAAAAGAAATAATAAAACTTACTAAAATGGCCTCAAGTAACTGTCCTGAACCTGAAAACATACACCGTCTAGGAAAATATCAACATGACAAAATCCGCCCCATTAAAGCTATTTTTAAATCAGAGGACACTGTTAAAGTTATACTTAGAAACCGAAATAACATGGCAGCTGCTAACGTCAAGATATACAGTGATCAAACTCCACATCAGAGAGAAACCTTAAAAATCCTGAAACAAGAACTTGAAAATCGAATTTCCAATGGCGAAACTAATATTTCTATTAAATATGTAAAAGGAGAACCAGCAATAGTAGAATCCTTACCAAAAAACTCTGCGCCGGCAACAAACAATCTAGTACCAGAATAGGAATTTTACAAATTGAGAACATTTCATACCAGATTACAAACGACTACTCACAAATTGAAACGTTCTACCCATCTCTCAACTTTCTCTACGCCAATGTACGCAGCATTGTTAAGCCGGGAAAGTTTGATGAGCTCAAGTGCGTCCTGAAGTCTATCGATAAGTAGTTAAAAAATGAAACGAAAAAACAACGAAACTAACAACCTGCAAACATTTTACCAATGCCACATCCATGCGAACTAGCTCCTTGTGGCGCCAATATCTACCCGCCACCGAGCGGCCGGCGGCTGGTCGAGGCGATCTGCTGTGGTAATCTACCCTGTTTATACATTTTAAGAAAATAATAATCTTTATAGTTTTTGTTAAATATATTGTCATAGCACCGCATGTTGTTACTATAAAATATTTTCATGTACTGCACGAACTGAATTAATTATAACTATTTTAATGTTCTCATTTAAGTGAATTTATGTAATTCTTTTGAGAATAAAGAATATCTTTAACCCGAATAGTCTAAGCGCATGAATTAGTAGCTTTGGGGCTAAATTAAATTCAAAACGCTACCCAAAAAATATTTATATATTATAATATAAATAATATATAAATATAATATTTTTTTATTTTTTTATTCCATTCAATACAAAGTCAGGCTTACAGTTTGCACCAACACGCCTGACTCGTTAACACAAAAAACATTATTAAAATTAATAATTATTATGGTAAAAATAACATTATTTTGGAAAAAGTATTCCCCAACTATCGGCAAATACGTCAGCATCCTGGATTTCGGACAGAAATTCGTTTAACAGCGCAATTGCCCTGGCCGTTGGACAGTTCCTAGCTCTACAGGTCCTCAGCCCCGCCAGCAAATAAGTGGTGGTGGCGGCGCACTCCCGCCCGCAAATACTGTTGCGGGACGAATAGTGTCATTTGCCGTAGTGCCAAGGGATTATTGACTCTATTCTGTAATAAAGAACAGTAATGTACGAGTAGATGCAACTTTCGCCTGTGGTTTAGGGTATCCAGTCCAACCATACCTGACACAAAAAGCGACGGAAACAAAAACGGATAACCATATAACCTCTTATACAGGTACCGAGCAAACTTACGCTGAACTCTCTCTATGAGCATATTGTATTTTCATTTCCGAAGATCCCAAACAATGCAATTATATTCCAGCTTGCTACGTACAAAGGCATAATACAGGACAATAGAGACAGTGACATTCTGAAACTGTGAACCTGCGCGCATTATTAATCCTAAGGCTTTATTGGCGCTCTTGCATGTACGAATGATTGCTAATCTCGATATAGTATTTAACGCGCTTCGAAAATCATTGCACGTAATTAAACACGTCATCTCGGATCCTCCCGATCCATTAACGGTGCTTTTAGGTTCCCTAAGCACCGGTCATCGTTCTCGTCTAACCCGTCGCTTGCGACGAAGGGCACGCTGAGTAAATTAACCCACAGACACAGCCCACTGAGCTTCTCGCCAGATCTTCTCAGTGGGTCGCGCTTCCGATCCGGTGGTAGATTCTGCGAAGCACGGCTCTTGCTAGGGTCATTGTTAGCAACACTCCGGCTTGAGCCCCATGAGCTCACCTACACATGTTAGGCTGAAGCTGAAATAGCCTCTCAAGGTTCGTGTTAGCAACGTCGTCAGGTTTGAGCCCCGTGAGCTCACCTACTAGTTAAGGTGACGCTGAAATAGCCTCTCAAGGTAAAAAAAAACGATCATAGATTCCGCAGATCCGTTGATTTTTAATTGAATGATCCACATGACGTGGATTGCGAGAAAAATCAGTGAATAAAAAATTTTGAACGTCTTTTGTTACGGTCTCATTCATGATGAGCTTTATAAACCCGCAATAGCTTTAAAGGGTGACGACAGTACAAATAATATAATTATAAAACCACAAGGTGGGTGGTAGTATTCTCGTTGTCTTTTAATTCTTGTTATCATTCACACAAAGTGGTCTCTAAGGTTATACATGTATCTAGTGTAACAAATATGAATGGTAAAAGTAGTTGATTTTTTTTATTGTAGACATTGAGCTGTTGTAGAAGGTATGTAATTAAATGTGTAATTTTTCTTGAATAATATGTTTTTAACGAGCTAATGACTGAAAAAAACTACAACATTACCATAAATAGAACTTTTATTTTGAGCCATTTCTTTGTATCAATTAATTGATTAGAGCAAGAGATTTGTTCTCTGGTCATATCTTTAGTACAATTGACAAAAATACAAACAATACAACGATGGTGTTAAATATTACTTTATATACTCAGTTCCAATATGGACGTATGGATTGCAACTGTGGGGAAGTGCATGCGACTCCAGTTTAAATATCATGCAAAGAATGCAGAATGGCATCTTAAGAACCATAGCAAACATACCATGGTTTGTGACAAACACTGAGATCCATGAAGCCATGAACATGAGAACTGTTAAGGAAGAGATAAGGTTGACAGGGACTAAGTACAGAACTCGGCTGGAAAACCACCCAAATACCCTAGCTAATGCGTTGACAAAAGTCAGTTACATCAAACGACTGAAACGTCATGATATACAGGGAGTTGGTGACAGATGGCGATCAATGAGGAGTCTCCTGGTGGGGAGCCTCTTCGACGCGATGGCACACGCAACGCATCTGCTCATAGTCCAGGCCTGATCGCAGATAGACACAAAATATATATAGGTACTCAGTTGACGACGTGTAAGTCGTCGTGGCCTAAAGGATAAGACTTCCGGTGCATTCGTGTCGAGCGATGCACCGGTGTTCGAATGCCGCAGGCGGGTACCTATTTTTCTAATGAAATACGTACTTAACAATTGTTCACGATTGACTTGCACGGTGATGGAATAGCATCTTGTAATAAAAATCAAACCCGCAAAATTATAATTTGCGTAATTACTGGTGGTAGGACCTCTTGTGAGTCGCACGGGTAGGCACCACCACCTTGCCTATTTCTGCCGTGAAGCAGTTATGCCTTTTGCTTTGAAGGCAGGCTTTGGGGCAGCCGTTGTATCTATACTGGGACCTTAGAACTCATATCTCAAAGTGGATGGCGGCATTTACGTTGTAGATGTCTATAGGGTCCGGTAACCACTTAACACGAGGTGGACTGTGGGCTCGTCCACCTGTGAACTCAGTATAATAAATATTGTCTGTTTTGAAGTGAAAACTTCTTTAGAATCGTTGTGATTTCAAACCGGATGCAACGGAAAAAACGACAGGTAAGAGACACAAATACAAAAATGTGTAGGATGAAGCCAGCAAAGAATGAGACAGAAATATACATACTATTTAATACAGCGCCATCTGTGAGATTTTTTAATACTAACGTGTGTATGAAAGCTCTTGTAGTGAATTTTANATTTTTTAATACTAACGTGTGTATGAAAGCTCTTGTAGTGAATTTTAATTTAGGATTATACGTGAAATTAAAATATCAATTCACAGAGGGCGCTACCTTACAATTATTTACTAATGACAAAATTTTACATATACTTAAGATGTTTAGGATAATTGTATTTTAATTTTGGAAGGTTTCACTTCTACCACGTGTGAATTGCTTGCACACATGTATTTTTCTCTCTGTAATTTGATGCACCGAACACGAGTCCATGAAAACTAAATGTTTGTCTCGTTCTTGTTAATACTATTTTTGCTGTACAATGTATAAATCTATATTTGTTGTATATTTTTGCAGGTGGTAGCACTTTTGGCAAGGAGGTTCAATATTCTAATTCGACGAGATGTCTAAATTCCTGCATTCTCGTCTCACTAACAACCGCAACTTGGTATGGTTCCTAAGGAATGTGTATCTCCATGATGACCTGGAGCTTGACTCAGTCAGTAAGTATTTACAGTCGGCATCATTGCGCCACTTTGAGAAGGCGGCACGACACGAAAATCCTCTTGTCGTGGCCGCCGGAAATTACATACCCGATCCTGTGAACCGAACGGTAAACAGTCGACGTCGCCCTAAGCACGTCATTACGGATCCTCCCAATCCATTAACGGTGCTTTTAGGTACCTCAAGCACCGGTCACCGTCCTCAAAGAACCCGTCGCTTGCGACGAAGGACTCGAGGAGTAAACTAACCCATAGACACACTCATAGTAGATTCATTCGCGAAGTAGCCGCTCCTGAGTTGTTAGGCCTCCTTTGGAGGCGCTCAGGCACCTGCTAGCAAATACCAGCCCTCCTGGCTGAGCCTTTGCTTGCCCACCTGTCCTGATGAAACTGGAAAGGCCTCCGGACCAGCAGTAAATCTATAATCATAAAAAAAACTTCGAGTAGCTAAAATAATGCGTGCGCAGTCAGCTTCGAATCCGCGATCCTCAACGAAGCGCGCCCGTTATCACTAACCTCTTCAGTAAAAGTGCATTTTAAACACTACAATGCAGTCTGAAATGCAATACACGGTTCGATCTTGTACGGTACGGACGATCGCAACGCGTTTATTATAATAATTCAGTATTCTCAACGTCAATAAAATGTCTTTCAACATTGATGACCCTCAATACCACATGGGACATCTATTCATGGACTGCATGAGAAGACGACCTGATTCAGTGTGCCAGGTATTGTATTGTGTGCATTTGACAGTCTATAAATTTCTATTCACACATCACGCAAATTATAAAGGCAAAACTTATTTTCGAGTGTGTCAATGAATAGCAATTTTTTTGTTAAACTTCATGCATATAAAATGCAACGTTGATATTGCAAGCTGTTTCTGCAGCGATAGTTCCGCGTCAGAACTCGTATTCAAAAATCACTCGAATTTTCGAAGTATCCATCTTTCTTGTCTAAGCTGAATAAAAAAATTTACTGAAAGTCGATAATCGAATGTTGCACGTTTTTTAAATGAAGAACCACATAAATACCATGCGCAAAGTCACCTGTAAATGCTGACAAGGACTGCCTTGGACCACGGATGTAGACCTAGAGGACATCGCCGTCGAGGAAGTCGCCGTGGCCTAAAGGATAAGACGTCCGGTGCATTCGTATTGAGCGATGCAACGGTATTCGAATCCCGCAGGCGGGTACCAATTTTTCTAATGAAATACGTACTTAACAAATGTTCACGATTGACTTCCACGGTGAAGGAATAACATCGTGTAATAAAAATTTAACCCGCAAAATTATAATTTGCGTAATTACTGGTGGTAGGACCTCTTGTGAGTCCGAACGGGTAGGTACCACCGCCCCGTTTATTTCTGCCGTGAAGCAGTAATGCGTTTCGGTTTGAAGGGTGGGGTAGCCGTTGTGACAATACTGAGACCTTAGAACTATATCTCAAGGTGTGTGGCGCATTTACGTTGTAGATGTCTATGGGCTCCAGTAACCACTTAACACCAGGTGGGCTGAGAGCTCGTCCACACATCTAAGCAATAAAAAATAAAAAATAAAAAAAAAAAAAACATCGACTTTGCTGATGATCATTGCCTCCCAGCAACCAATCGGCAGCACCTACAAATACAGATGATCTGAAAGTAGATGAAGCTCAAATGGTAGGGCTGCGTATTCATTTCTCAAAAACAAAAGAATTGCACCTAAATACCATCGATTCGGCTCCTGTGTTGATCAAAGAGAGGCACATCGAGCAGGTGGGAAGCTTTTGTTACCTGGGCAGCATTGTGGACGATAGGGGAGGCACCGAGGCGGACATTGCGGCTCGTATAAATAAAGTCAGAGCCGCGTTTAGTCAACTTAGGCCAGTGTGGAGCTCCTCAACCTTAACGAGACGAACAAAGGTGAGGATCTTCAACTCAAATGTAAAGTCTGTATTGCTGTACGGGAGCAAAACTTGGTTTGTTCGCAAGGACTTAATAATAAAACTTCAAGTGTTTGTGAATAAATGCCTACGACAGATTTTGAACATCTTTTGGCCTGAGACGATCACTAACAAAGAGCTGTGGAGGATCACCAAGCAGACACCAATGGAGAAGGAGATCCTCATGCGGAAGTGACATTGGATTGCTCACATATTGAGATATACCCGATACCCACCTATCCAAGAAAGCACTGACCTGGAAAGTGTCTGGCAAAAGGAAAAGAGGCTCTCCCAGAACAACTTGGCGTCGCTCGATAGAGGAGGGGTTAGAGGTCTTGGGCATGACGTGGGAGGAGCTAGAACAGACTGCCCAAGACCGATGTAAATGGAACGATTTGATTCGCGCCCTACACCCCAGCAGAGGGCAATAGGAAAGAAAGGAGAAGAAGAGCTATTGCAGCTTTAAATTGACATTCTTCTTGAATAATATTAACCACAACGTCCTTATCTTTGTGTTTACGTGTATTATCTATGCTTTGTATTAATTAGGCAATAAAATTCGCATTGCAAATTTTTTAGGTAGACGCAGCAACAGGGGAGACAGAGACCAACGCGTCAGTACTACAGCGGTCTGTGCGGTTAGCCAAGTACATGCGGACGCTCGGTCTTAAGCCGGGAGATGTACTGGCACTGGGGGGAAGAAACCACTTGGATCTTTATATACCATATTATGCTGCCTTAATGAATGGATATCCTATAACCGGCGTCGATCCACTATTCAAATTACGTACGACTTTTCATTAAATAGTATGAAAGTAAATTCACGGGAATATGTGTGTGTGTGTGTGTTTAGTACTTCATTTTCACGCTACCAATTTTTATATGATGTGTACTAGGTAATTTATATATCTTCTGAAACATTCAAATGTATATTTAAAAGTGTATAATGAGATGTCGATGTCTGTCCCTGACTGACATATACTTAGTCTGGCCATAAATACTGAGACAAAGGAAAAAAAAATCTATTGCAAATAACATTTATCACTTTTACAGTGTGTTAGTTTAATACATAAATATAAAACAATTTAAAGTCTAAAAACTTATTCGAAGTGGTCTCCATTGGCTGCAATACAGTCCTTTAAACGTTGAGGCCAGTTATCAATAGAAGCACGCACTCTTTCCATGGGAAAATTTTTCACTGCTAATCGTACGGATTGTTTTAGGGACTCCAAATTATCATGGCGTTTAGAGCAAGCCGTACTCTCTAAAACTGACCATAAATCATAATCCAGCAGAATAAGATCGGGACTAGACGTCGGCCAGTCTTCAGCTCTGATGAAGTCCGAAACGTTCGTTTCCAACCAAGACTGCGTAGACCGAGCTTTATGACCTGGCGCCGAGTCTTGCTGGAAGGACCATTCTTGATTATTAAACATGGTGTTGTTAAGGGGCTTCACTACCTTCTCAAGAATGGTATCTTAATACACTTGTGCCGGTGTTTTGATACCTTTTTCACAAAAGTATGGCTCAGTCACTCCTTCATAGCGAATACCCCACCAAACCATCACTGAAGTCGGATAGTGCCCACGTTGCACTCTGTCGACTACTTGGGAAGCTTCCTTAGAGCTTTGAGCATAAACACGGTCATTTTGTTTGTTAAAATGTTGCTCAATTTTAAAAAAATTCTCATCCGTAAACAAAAATTTTCTACGACCTCCCTTTGCGTACCGCTTCAGTAGTTGTTTAGATTTTACCACCCTATTCTCTTTTAACTTCTCAGTTAAGAAATGACCAGTACGTCTCTTAAAGGCTGCAAGTCCTAAGTCATCTTTTAAAATGCGCGACATGGTTCTAGGTGCTATCTTCATCTCCCGAGATAAAATCTTTTGCTTTCGGACAGGATTTCTTCGAATTCTTTCCCTTACTGCTTTGACCACCTTTTTCGTACGAACATTACGTGGACGGCCAGATCTTTTTCTGTCACAAACAGAGGAGGTTGTATTGCACCTATTAATAGCCCGGTACACAAACATTTTACTAATACCAAGCGTATGGAGAGTTTTAAAAATTGCATTTGGCTCCATACCTACTTTGTGTAATGCAATCACAGCGATTCTGTTGTCTTTATCACCCCACTCCATTTTAATATCGCAAAATGTTGTACAATGTATTGGCGCCAAAATGAGAAAACTCAATGAGCAATCTTATAAAAATGACAGATTCCAAATTCAAATGTAATATTTTGTTTATTTTTAGTTGTAACAGTATTTATGGCCAGACTAAGTAATTTAATTTATGAAGAAAAAAAAAATCTTTGTAAAAATATGTTCATACGATGAATCCTTATCTGCTCTCAGATGAAATCAAAAGCTTTTTCAAATTGACGCAACCAAAAATAGCGTTTTGTCAACAAAATCAACGGGAGAACTACTTGGAGGCTGCCCGCGAATTGGGCCTTGACACGAGAGTCATCACATTTGACGGAGACGAGTCGATGTCCAAGTTACTAGCTGACTTCGCTGATGACGATATTGCTGATTTTCAGTAAGTACTTTATGAAAATGCCTACTAATTTGGTTTGATCATCCGAAGTAGAACTGGGCCTCAAGAACGAGAGTGAGAGCCCTTCATTCTTCTTGATCGTGCCCTCTCACCTCTCCTTCCAGTCACTGGCCAAGGACTATTTTATTGAGAGAATGAAATGTTCAATTTGAAGTCGTCGGGGCCTATGTTCTATGGCCTATTAATGAATGTTCACGATTGACTTCCACGATGGAGGAATAACATCTATACTAATATATTATTATAAATCTACAGTTGTTTTTACGAATGTTCCGTTATAACTACTGAACCATGCACCCGATTGACTTGAAACTTGGACTTGGTTGGACTCCCTACACCAGTTACGGGGGCGTTAATGTTGAGAATCTTTGTGGGGGTGAGAAATAATAATGTAAATTTTAAATGCCCAGCGAAGCGGACGGGTACAGCTAGTCGTGTAATAAAAATCAAACCCGCAGAATTCTAATTTGCGTAATTACTGGTGGTAGGACCTCTTGTGAGTCCGCACGGGTAGGTAGCACCACCCTGTCTATTTCTGCCGTGAAGAAGTAATGCGTTTCGGTTTTAAAGGTGAGACAGCCATTTTACTGTCAAAATCGAGACCTTAGAACTCATGTCTCAAGATGGGTGGTGCATTTTACGTTGTACATGTCCATGGGCTCCAGTAACCAATTAACACCAGGTGGGCTGTGAGCTCGTCCACACATCTAAGAAATAAAAAATAAAAACCAAAAAAAACAGTACATTTATGCCGTAAGTCTAGCGCGGTATAAATTGTTGCTTTTTTAACCTATTCGCTGGTAGCCTAAGAGGCTATTCCAGCTACGCCCGAACGGCTGGTGAGCTCACGGGCTCAACCCGAGAGAATTTGCTAACACTAGCCCTAATAAATAATAGTTTAAAAAATCTAACAAAATACGCTTTTATAGAAAATCCAACTAAAAAATAGAAAATAAATTTTAATAAATTTGAATTAAAAATAGTGTAAGAAAAAATGATTTTATTGTAAAAAAGCGTGGGGTGCTTTTCAGGATATTATTAAAATAACCTTTCGACTCTCATATCTGTTCATAAAATATTTATAACTACTGATACCAATCAATTTATTTCTAATTTTTTTTAAATATTCAATTGTCATTGGTCCTTAATAATTATACCAAATTTGGAGTTAATCCGACGTTTTGAAAGGAGTCAAAATCATGTTCAAAGATAACGATAGCTAATATGAGTAAAAGCGTATTAAAAAGAATCCACTAGATCGGAACCGCGACCCACTGAGAAGACCCGACGACAAACTCAGTGGCCTAATTGTTCCTTTCAATCAAATCAAACAAGTAGTCTACTACAACTACCAGCGTTCATACACGGCTACCAAGGTGGGTGGCGCATTTACGTTGTAGATGTCCATGGACTCCAGTAACCACTTTACACCAGGTGGGCTGTGAGCTCGTCCACCGACCTAAGCAATAAAAAAAAACAAAAAAAAACAATATGAAAAAATAACATCTTTTTTTATTTATTACATATTTATTAAAGCCATTACACCTATTAGGTTAAGTTGGCTAATAACATAAAATAATATAATAACATCTTAATTAAAATAAATAAATAACGATACTTATTTTGTTATGCTTCATTATACGAGTGTTTGGGTGGTTTGAAGGTGAGGACAAACGACATAACAATAAAATTGAGTCTTCGACCTTCCTGACGCTTCACTAGTCTGCATTAAACATCTCTTATTTATTAGTTATGTTTTAAAGAATAACAACACATTCGTCCTCCGTGACCGCGATAACTACGAAATAGGTATTCGTAAAGTCGGAAACATGGTAAGAAAAAATAAATGAGTTATCAAACAGTAAAAATAAAAGTAATTGATCGAAAGAAAATCTGTTTAAACACCAAACGGTGTATATATTTTTTTCTCGATTGTACTATATCTACATTAATGCAAAATTGAAAACAGGATTCTATGGCTTGCAAAATTTTACTCGACTACTATATGTATAATATCTATATATATCTACATAAAAAAATATAATATATTTTTGTTGTGTGTTGGTCCGATGTTTTTTGTAATTCAGTTTTATTCATTACTCCGATTTACGGAGATGAAACAGGGTTCTTTTTTTATTTTTACAAAAAGAGAATGAATTTAATCTCGCTGCCTAACTTTGAGCCAAAATAAATAAATAAATAAGTAAATATTTACTAACAATCACGCCACGTTAACTGGTCCCGTGATAAGTTCGTAAAGAAAATAAATATGTACCTACTTTATCAAACTCCAAAATGCATTAAAATAGCCGTTTATTCAAACCGAACAAAAGATTGTTTTGGTTGAGATGACAAACACGCATACTTATTCTACCTCATCGACTTTAATCTAAACTTTATTTACTTTGATAATACAGTTGCACCAATATTTAAATGCAAGTTACGCAAAAGCATTAATCCTAACTTAAGCTATGTTTGATATGTTTCAACGGGAGTACATATGACAGGTACTTAAGAATCAAGAATGTAGCTAATAAGCAGTGTATTGTTCTTTCTATACTTAATATTATAAAGAGGAAAGATTTGTTTGTTTGTTTGTTTCGAATAGGCTCCGAAACTACTGGACCGATTTGAAAAATTCTTTTTCCATTAGAAGCCGACATTGTCCCTGATGAACATAGGCTACTTTTTAAAAAAAAAAATTTTTTTTTTTTTTTGGTTTCATGTGTTTTTTAATGTTTCCGAAGCGAAGCGAGGGCGGGTCGCTAGTTCTTAATAAAGAAGGCGAAGAAGCATTAATCCGAAAAGGCATCCGCCAATAACATTTTTTTTTTTTTTATAATAATAAATATTTACTAACAGTCACGCCACTTTAACTGGTCCCGTGATAAGTTCGTAAAGAACTTGTGTTACAGGTACCAGATAACAGAAATAAATGTAAGATTTTTATTATACACATACATATATTTAATATACATCCATAGCCCTGGAAAAGACATTTATATTTATCATACATATATCTTCCCTTGGCGGGATTCGAACCCGCGACCCCCTTGTGTAGTGACCATGTCACTTACCACTACACCAGACGGCCGTTGTAATGCATTGTGATAGATTAAGTGCAACGATTTAAATACCAATTAATTAAAATTAAATACTATAACGAGTTACAAAAAAGCAATAAATTTTACAAAATGTTTGGGTGACTCTGTGTAGCTTTATGATAACTCAATATACAAACAAATAAAGGTTTAATCATGAAGGTTTTGGTTGTATAGGGCATCGACTTAAAAAAAACGCTTCAAAAATGCATAGACAAAAGATAGATTTGTGGGATGCTCATTGGTTTAAAATTTTTATTAGAGCAAAGAATACTTGCTGATGACGACACCTGTGCCGTTAACGAAACTATTATTTTTTAAATATTTTTGAAGAAATACGACGTTACGGTACAATCAAAAGAAATTAGCAATGCTAGAGGTAAAATCAACCACTGCCTATTACTATTACTGTTTACTGGTGGTAGGACCTCTTGTGAGTCCGCACGGGTAGGTACCACCGCCCCACCTATTTCTGCCGTGAAGCAGTAATGCGTTTCGGTTTGAAGGGTGGGGCAGCCGTTGTGACTATACTGAGACCTTAGAACTATATCTCAAGGTGTGTGGCGCATTTACGTTGTAGATGTCTATGGGCTCCAGTAACCACTTAACATCAGGTGGGCTGTGAGCTCGTCCACACATCTAAGCAATAAAAAAATAAAAAAAAATAAAAACTATAATGAGAACGCTTCCATAGAGCCCCGTGCCTATTCAACTTTTTCAGAGTCTGGAAAGGCCGGTGGTCGTGTCTTCATTGACTGCAACAGTCGGGTTAATTAAGGTGACAGGAAAAGATGCGCATCGCCAAAGGCCTAATCTCTATGGCCTATAATTCGAATTAAGTAACCTAAGTAAGTAAGCAGTTCGGATGATTTTGTTACAGGCCGGCCACTTTCGATTTAGACAAGGTTTACGTCTGGCTGATTAGCACTGGTGGTACATCGGGAGCTCTGAAAGTAGCTGCCATCAAACACAAAGCTTGGATTAGAAAAGCGATTTCATTCACTTTGTGTCTGCTTGAATTAAACGATAAGTAAGTATAGACACGAATTTAGAAAAATACAGAAAATCAAGTGCCACATCTGATCTCTCTAGAGCCCATCAGTTAGTATATATAAGCGACCTATCTCATATACGGTAAACACTGCCAAAATTGTTCAATATAGAACATGGCCAGACAATGCATATTTTTGACGTTTTACTCACTATACATTTGTCCGTTCAATTTGATTTTTGACCCTCAGACACAGCCCACTGAGTTTCTCGCCGGATCTTCTCAGTGGGTCGCGTTACCAATCTGGTGGTAGATTCTGCGAAGCACGGCTCTTGCTAGGGTTCGTGTTAGCAACGTCATCAGGTTTGAGCCCCGTGAGCTCACCTACTAGTTAAGGGGACGCTGATTATAGCCTTTCGAGGCTATCAGCTTTGGTAGGTACAAAAAAAAATGATTTTTGTAATTAATTCAAACTATCTTCGCGACGTGCTTTAGCAGAGAACCAGACGACAATTGATAGAAATGGGAAGAAATATATCTTTTTTTTAACACGCAATCCTGTTGGTGAATATTTTTCGACTATTTTTTTCATTTGACTCATACATAACCTTTTTCTTTTTTTTTGTTCGTAGAGATGATACCAGTCCAGTAATTGCGCTGAATCTGTCTCCCGTGCAATGGGTGTCGGGACTTTTTAACGCAATGAGCGCACCGCTTCTCAACCAAACAAAGGTACAGACGTCAGCGCTACTTACAATGGAACATGTCGTTGAGATCATAAACAAGTACAAGGTATGGTATCTCACTTGCTTCCAATTAAACCTTACTTTTACTATTAAATATGGCGTTTATTATTTACTAAGTTACAAATACTTCACGGACGATCGGTAAGTTCAGGTACAGGAGGGCTCTCCTATATATAGCACGGTATTTTACAACACATTTCCACTCAAACACGAATAGAAAATTTCCCCAAATCCCTCTTAAAGCACGATACTTCTAAAACACGATAAAGATATTTTTGTTTAAAATTATTTAGAAAATTACATTATCCACTATTAATTCATTCTTCATATTCAGACCTCAACCCTTTAGACTTCAAATTATGGTCAGTTTTAGAGGACATGGCCTGCTCTAAACGACACGGCGACATTGAATCTCTTTAAAAAATCTTTGGAGGAGGCAGTGGCGAAATTTTCCTTGGAAACTGCGATAATCCATAGATTCGTGGCCAAACAGATTAAAGGCCTGTAAATATAAAGCCAAAGGTGGCCATTTAAAATAGTTTTTTTTTTTTTGCTGAGACTTTAATAAATTGTAGGTGTAAATTTTAATAATAGGTATTACATTACTTCATTTAATAAAAATGCATTTTCATTTATTGTAACAGAAGTTATGGCTGGACTGGGTCTAGATCATAGTCAAACGAAAATCGTGACATCTTTGTACATATAGAATTTAGAGCTTTTGTAAATAAATATTGCATTTTATTGGCTTTTAAAGCAAATGAATAATATTTATATAAATAAATTAATTAATTAATCCGACACATGGGAGTGAATGGACATCACCACAACCACTGTTCAGATTAGAGCAAGCAAACGCGTAACTGCACATAGTAACTATAATTAATGTAATAATAGTACATAATAAGACGACCAATTTAATTTTTTTTTTTTTTTTTTGTTATTTAAATTTTTCATAATATGAAATAAAACAAAACATTGTATTGCTTAAGTTAAGCATCGGTTCAAATGGCGTCTGGTCGAAACGGTGTCTACTAGTTAATACCCGATTTTTGCAGCCAAAAACCACAATGATGAACCCGTCGCTAGCTTCTAATTTGTTGGCCTATGAAAACTGTGACTTCAAATGCTTCAAAAGCTTCGTTTTAGGAGGCGGGAAATTACATACGGATGTTATTTTGGCACTAAAGGTAAGTAAGTGTTTTATGATTTAATTTTTAAAATCAAACATTGCTTGCTAAGTATTATGGCGATACGTGTATTTTAAATATTTATATAATTTAATAATGCATTTAAAATTAGGTTTTTTTATTAAATGAGAAAAATCAAGATCCAAAACTAGCTTACAAAATGCATCACGCTATCTTCTATCCTTATAACTATCCTTAGAAAATATCCTCCAATGTCCCAAAGATCCTAAAACTGGTGGCCTGATGTCACCTTAACATCAAATATGTTTAATCTGAGAGCAAAATTGAAATGACTGGTCTTATTTTTACATCAAAATAAGGAACCAAGCTGAGGACAATTACCAACAATAGGTTTCACAGTATAGATTCCGACACTAAATGATTTTTTAATGACCAACGTTTGTAGACTTATAATTATTAGAGTTAAGATTTTTTCTTAAGACTGCAGGTTTTGAGTGATTTCTATAACAGATCTACAGTACCCGTTTCTAGAAAATATTTCAAAACTAAGCTTTTCTGTCTCAAAATCTAATCTATGGTCTCTCTGAGCATTTTCTATGTCCATGAACAAGTAAGCATTACAATCAGAGTCTCCGCAAGCAAGTCCACCATCAATGGCAACATAAAAGCCATAGGTACTAGACAGTAATAAAAGTTCTAGTAACTCAAACAATACGTAAAAAACTCCTAAAATATTTATTGTCGTCAATTTTATTGGCTGTAGAGCTTCAAAACGTTGGCCGATCCCATAGACACAAGAGTGACACTGAGAGACACTGAGTTTCTCGACGGATCTTCTACGTGAGTCGCGATTCCGATCCAGTGGTAGATTCAGCGAAGCAATGCTATTGCTAGGGCCAGTGCCAGCAAACTTTTTCAGGTTGAACCCGTGAGCTCACCCACCACTTCTTAAAAAGCTGGAACCTCTTAGTACCAACGATTAGGCAGGGGAAAAAAATACGTTAGCCAATATGATAATACGAATGTGAAACTAGTAATATTTTTATTTGGAAACAGAGTAGATTACGGCACGACGCGTTATTGATCGAAGGGTACGGGCAGACAGAGAACATAGGACCGGTATTCGCAACGAACCATAAAACGCCAATCGGTAGTTGCGGCAAAAGATCGAACTCTGTTGAAGTTAAGGTATGTATTGAAGCGTTAATTATTATAATAAACAATAATATTCGGACCGTTTGCTTGACAAGCTATTTCATCTACTTGGTGGATAGGAAGAGCTTGTCGTTCTCCCTATAGCATATTAACAGTTCACAGATCATGTGCGGACTTGATTACAAAACAATAATATTATAGTCGTTTCATTCTGTCGTTGCGTTCTATCGTATCGTTCGTATCTATTCTTGCGTTGCATTTTGACCTTTTTTGTAGTAAAATTTTAAAATGTATCGAATTTCTTCATTAGATTCACTCATCTTGACAGTACGAAAAATAAATAAAAATCACACATATTCCTAATTTGAATTTGGAATTATCTTCTTTAAAATTTAAACTATTAATGATACCAAAACCAGCCAGATACAAATAGTATATATAGCCAAAGAGATTTTATTACAAGTTCATACTGTAATGCGAAAAGACTTTTTCCCCAACCTATTAGATCAGAATATTCAACAATATCTATTATACTTGTATGACAAAAACATAGTGGAAGTGAAATAAATGTTCTAAATAAGGAAGGCGAAGAAGTAATAATCCGGGAAGGCATCCGCGAAGGAGATCTTAGATTAGTAGTCGTCGTGGCCTAAAGGATAAGACGTCCGGTGCATTCGTATCGAGCGATGCACCGGTGTTCGAATCTCGCTGGCGGGTACCAATTTTTCTAATGAAATACGTACTCAACAAATGTTCACGATGACTTCCACGGTGAAGGAATAACATCGTGCAGTAAAAATCAAACCCGCAAAATTATAATTTGCGTAATTACTGGTGGTAGGACCTCTTGTGAGTCCGTCCGCACTTCTGTCGCATTTCTGCCGTGAAGCATTACTGTTTCACTGCAGAAATAGGCAGAGTAGTGCTACCTACCCGTGTGGACTCGCAAGAAGACCTACCACCAGTAATTACGCAACATACCCGATCCTGTAGACCGAATGGTAAACAGTCGACGCCGCCCAAAGCACGTTATTACGGATCCTCCCGATCCATTAACGGTGCTTTTAGCCACCACAAGCACTGGTCACCGTCCTCGTCGAACCCGTCGCTTGCGACGAAGGGCTCGACGAGCGAATTAACCCATGGACACGGCCCACTGAGTTTCTCGCCGGATCTTCTCAGTGGGTTGCGTTTCCGATCCGGTGGGAGATTCTGCGAAGCACTGCTCTTGCTAGGGTCATTGTTAGCAACACTCCGGTTTGAGCCCCGTGAGCTCACCTACACATGTTAGGCTGAAGCTGAAATAGCCTCTCAAGGCTATCAGCATAGGTAGGAAAAAAAAAAGGTACACAAATTATGATTTTGCAGGTTTGATTTTTATTACACGATGTTATTCCTTCGTCGTGGAAGTAAATCGGGAACATTTGATAAGTATTTTGTTAAGGATTCGAACACCGGTGTATCGAACGCACTGGAATACGTACGAATGCACTGGACGGGTTATCCTTTAGGCCACGACGACTTCAAAAGTTAGTGGAAGTTTACCTCAACACATAATTGAAAATCTCATTAATAGTAATTTGGTCATTGTCAAGGGTAACATGAAGCAATGTAAAATAGAAAAATAGTTATAGTATAGTTCTAGTAAAAATATTTCGTTTTTTCAGTTGGTAGATCCTGAGACTGGTCTAGAAATAACTGAACCACATGTCCTGGGAGAACTGTGGACTAAAGGAGATTGTTTTACAGTAAGTTCAATCAATGTATGGTAACTTTAGAGCCAACTAAAGAGCAATCAGAACGGTGTTGTAACACCTTTGGTTTGGTGACTATAGTAGAATTATTTTGTCCGTGCAGTTTGGGTCATAAAAAATCGGAGCGGTGAAGCGAGTATTTCGCTCTCTCTTCCACTCACGAGCCTTATGGACGGGCATAGTGATGCGCATTATTGTTGTCGATAAGCGTTATCGATAGTGTATTTAGTTTTGTCATTTTGTACGTTAGTGATAAAAATGAAAGAAAAAATCACGAATCGAACACTTACACCACATATCGCCGCAGCAAGTTAACGAGAACGGCAGAAATTAACACTTTGTAACTTTTCGGGAGTTATTCTTATTTCAGTGAAATTTTTTAACAAATTGTTGATAATATTATTTTGAATAAATTCTGCCGTTTTGATACAAAACAAAGGAGTAGCCATTGTGTCACTAAAGAAATTCAGAGAACTAATACATAAAAACACATTTCTCTTCGACATCATGTATTATAACTTGCAGGTAACTACAAATTACTCATAACATAACAATGTCTCACCACCCTTCGAATACCACCCCGCCGCCATGTACCTGCCTTCGATGACTCATTTGTTTTTATTGATAATGGCGTTGCGCCCGCGCAACATACTCACCGCCCTAGCCGGGCTATGTTTTATGACCCAAACTGCAGCGACAAAATAATTCTACTATAGTGAATCTGTAGTATAGGCTCTAGCCACGTCTCTTAAAATAGAGTCGACACGTGTGCTAAACCGATATCGGTATCGATAACGCAGAAGAAAAAGCGATCTATCGATATCTATCTACCTGACTACCTGATCAGAGGCGGCTTCACGTATGGTGCAAGATGTGGGCGCTATGGTGTCAGGAGGCGGCGGCCTCAGCACTTTCAAAGAACCCGTTACATTTGTACCTATTCCAATATGACTGCGCGCTTATTAGAGGGCGCTGGGGTAATGATGGCACACGGACGTGCTACGTAGCATCAGGTATCAGGATATAATTCAGGTACAAAGGCGTGTCTAGCTGCCTTTGTACCTGATATAGAATTTATTGTGAACATTGATCGTGATTTTGTGGCTCTTATAGGAGTACTACATGAATCCAGAAGAAACTGCTAAGGCCTTCACAGCGGATGGCTGGTTTAAAACCGGGGATATTTTGTACAGAGACGAAGAGGACTTTTTCTATTTCGTCGAAAGAATGAGCATGATCATCCAATACAGGAGCTTCCGTGTAATGTATAATTAACGATTACGTAATCCCTTAAAATACTGTATTCAATAAGGAAAACCTTAGGAATTTCAAAAAAAACAGTGCCTGTGCAACTTGGTGCACGCGATTGAAGTGAAACTTTTTTTTCTATATGTAGTATTGTGGTTATCTTCATTTTTCATCCTTAAATCAGATTGCTCTTGTAATAGGGAATACTGTGTATAAGAGATGCGACATTTTCGACATTTACAAAAAAAGAAATATATATATTTTTAATACTTCAATAAACTATTCGCGGTGGCCTGTAACAAGTATAGGCGCATGCGTTCCATGGTAGCGTTAAACGTTTAACGCAACGTTGTTGGAAGCCGCATTAGAAGTTTCACTTTAAAAATACCTTTTTTTATCTCGTGGTTATTTCTTACAAATTTCCGACTTTCCTGTAAGCACGACCGAATAGACTATAACCAAACTTTACCAAAAATCGCGAAAGCAAATCGTAAAATTGTTTTAAATAACACATAGTTTAGTTTTGTTTTTTGGTCCATTACGTGTTTTTTTTCCCTACCTAAGCTGATGGTCTAGAGAGACCATGTCAGCATCATCGGGCTAGTGGGTGAGCTTACGGGGCTCAAACCTGACGATGTTGCTGACAGGAATCCAAGCAAGAGCCGTGCTTCGCAGAATCTACCGTCGGATCGGAAACGCGACCCATTGAAAAGATCTGACGAGATACTCAGTGGGCTGTGTCTGTGGGTTAATTTACTCGCCGAGCCCAGTGTCAGAACGTTACTTCGATATGGCTATGCGTCATGATAATCGACTTCGACGATACTCCCCGAATCCTGATCACGCAGGAGCAAGTCACCATCGTCGCCCTAGACAAGTCCTTACGGATCCATCAGATCCAAAAATTCTTGCATTAGACACCTTCAGCTCTAACACTAGGAGCATGCTTAGGGATCCCGGTAACCGTACTCGTCGAACTCGGCAACACGCAACCTAACCCATGCATCAGCTCGCTGAGTTTCTCGCCGACTCTTCTCAGCGGGTCACGATTCCGATCCGGTAGTAGATTCATGCGCGAAGCAGCTGCTCTTGAGTTGTTAGGTCTTCTTCGGAGGCGCTCGGGTAGCTGTTAGCAAATCCCACCCTCCTGGCTGAGCCTTGCTCGCCCACCTGCCCTGGTGAAACTGGAAAGGCCTCCAGGCCTTCAGTAATACTTCAAACATAAAAAAAAACTCGCCGAGCCCTTCGTCGCAAACGACAGGTTCGACGAGAATGATGACCTGTGCTTGGGTTACCTAAAAGCACCGTTAGTGGATTGGGAGGACCCGAGATGACGTCTTTAATTACGTACAATGATTTTCGAAGCGCTTTAAATACTATGTCGAGATTAGCAACCCTATCAAATAGTTGGTCATATAAATGAGATATACAAAAAGAAAACGTTTTCCGTCTTTGGTACAGGCGGTATTCGGCCAATCTAAATTTCAAAACATTTTAGGTTATACCTCTCGAAATCGAAGGGGTGATCAGAACTCACGAAGGAGTCTTGGATGTTAGTGTTACCAGTATACCTAGTGAAGAAGACGGCGAACATCCCGTAGCGTGTGTGGTGAGACGGAAGGATGCCACCGTCACAGCAGAGGAGATAAAAGACCATGTTGCCGGTGAATAATTGTAAAATACATTTTGTTTAATTTTCCAATTCTTAGATTTCAATTTCATAATAAAGGTAAGACGCCCGATGTAATCGTATGTAGCAGTGATACGACGATGTTGCCAGTAATAAGATACGGAAAACGGGCTAAAATGTCTTTCTTGTCTGTTTGGTGTCTTGTCGTATTTATCAGAGGTAGTAAGAGATGCATTTGGAGCAATCTATTTATGGGCTTGGTGGAAAACGATTTCGCATAAAAATATCCTCATTTTAAGATTTTGTGCTGTAAAATCCTAGAAGCTACATAGCAAATAAAGTAACTCTTAAATATCTATTAAGTTTTCACAACCGAACCTCCGAATCAGATTTTGAAGGGGTACGAAAATAGTTTGTACCCTATGAGTAAAAAAAAAGTTTGTAGCCTATGTGCTTAGTACGAGTTTTTTAACATTCTCGATAGCTTAAAAGATAACTCCAATTTCTGTGCATTTGGAATAGCGCCCCTAGCGGCAATCGTAGGCAAACGTTCCAAGTCCATACAAATTTGAGTTAACTTAAACGCTATCGAGAACGTTAAAAAACTCGCACTAAGCACACTGACCTCTTCGCGATTCAGTCGCGCACAAGTGTATAATCTATGGTCGCGCAGACTCTCGGTGGACGACACGGAACCCATGCAGTGCTCCCGTGCTCCCGAAACGTTCCCCCAGCGATATGTCACATTTTACGAGTACTCGGAATGGTAAACAGTTACACTCCCTTGCTCCCCTCTCAATGAATTGACTTTTCAACTTGGTTTGTCATAAATTTACAGATAAATTGTCGGATTCAAAAAGATTAAGAGGCGGAGTTATATTCATGGACGAATTGCCGATGACATCCGTGGGAAAGGTGGCCCGCGCGAAATTACGACAATTGGCGCAAAACCTACCACGGGAATGAACTAAAACACTTCATCCTGAGTTATATTATACATTATATATATTGGCTCCAAAAGTCGTTATTATTGGTATAATCTTATCTTTCTTATTACTAATACATTATTTAATAAAAAGTCAACATGTTATTATAGCTCTTTGAATTTTAATTGTTTTATTTATTTATTTGTAACCGAAAATGGAAATGTACATATAATAAAATAAACATATTTGATTATCATACAACGTCAGATAAAGAGGTGCGTATAGAATGTTCCAGTAAACGCATAAGCATTAAGTAAAAAAACTGTAGAAAATAAATCAACAAACAACTTTAGACGAAGCTATTTCTAGTCACCGTGTGCAATTGTGATAAAATATTATTGTGCTTCGATCTTTTAGCGATTTGATATCGTTTTCAATAGATATGTACCTACCTACTTAGATTTGAGTCGTCTATTATCAAAGGTGGCAATCTGTACATTTGAACAAAAAAATGTTATTGATATGTCAATACAGATTGATTTGAATATAATCGTCTCCTTCAAAGAATACGGTTCAAAACCTGCATTAAATAAAGGTTAATACTTAACCTGTTATTTATCTAAGATGTCGTTCAGAAGAGTTTTGTGGCTGCCAATGGAATACAAAGTCAATAATTCGTTTTTCTGATTTACCAATAATTGTCCAAAAGTCACATTGCCGGCTTTGATACTAGTCGACTCATTTTATAGTTTGGTCATAAAATAATGATTCATAGAAATCTGATAAAGGTTACTCTTCTATTTTACTTTTTGGGGACTATATATTTTATTTATTTATTTGAGAAACCAACAGTACAAAACAAACATATAATATATTAAAAAATAGCTAAAACAAAAACCAAACAAGTTTCCACCATCAAAACCACATATAAGTAAAAAGTGCACAAAGGAAAAAAAAGAGAAATTTATAAATTTAAGTTTACAAAAAAAACAACACAATGCGCACATATGTACATCCACCTCCATTTTATGAGTATACATGTGTATATAAATTCCAAAATAGCAAAATATTCCAATATACATATTCCATAATACGAAGCATATCTATCTGTATTCTTAATACTCTGAGCGCATGAATGTAGCTTCAGGTAAATTCAATTGAAAATGCTAACAAAAAAATATCAAAGTTATGATAATATTTTTAGATGATGATGCGTCGACATGCGACATGACAACTTGCGCTATACTGGAACATTTGCGGTAACATTTCAAATAATAAAATTAATGGAAATATACCTCAAAATGTTCTTGAAATTTCGGTAAATTCACTTTGTCAGATCATCTAACATTTCAATAATTAAATGTATCGACCCTCGACGCAACACTGCGGGGCTTTATCAATCAATAAAGGGTGTCAAAAGGTAATCAATAACGCCAGTAAGAATGTTTCACGTCTCAAGCGATCCGCATAGGCAGCATGAAATGATCCCTGGAAGGGTTGGAATTCCACCCAGTAGGACAGAAGCTTAACGCCGCTTCTAGGTTCTATAAGAGAGCTATTGCCATGGCGAAATCGAAGTACATTGCGAGAATTGACGAAAGACCGATGAAATGTACCTCTGGGAGCTGCAACGCTTGGTCACTCGCCCAAGCTGTATGAGGGAACTTTTACGTCTTCCACCATTGCGCAAGTCCGATGACAGTCTGGCCTACAGTAGGAAAGAGAAAGCTGACTTTCTGTTCAGTATCAAACTCAAACTCGCCTATTAAAGACGAAGGAGCCATGCTACCAAGCATACCTGGACGTTATAGATCGAACGGGCTAGATTGCACCCCTGCCATAGTTTTGAAAATATCCCCCCTGGTTTGATTCTGCGCTAACGCGTTTGTATCGCCTCTCAGCACTAAACAGAGTTCCGACTTAATGGAACATCGCTCATGTTCACGCCATCTTTAAAAAGCGTGACTGGTCGGACACCTCGGGTTCCAGGCTTATCGCGATAATTTCATTGCTTTTAATAGGCATCACCTGGGAGGAGACGGTATAGGATGGAAAGAACGAATAATAATTACGTGTCTCCTGGAGTATTTTGAACTCCAGCTGATCAGTGGCCGACAGCACCATTTCTTAACCAACTTTTTTTACTGTCATTGGGTGTCTTGTGAGTACGCATCACCCAGCTTATTTCTACAGCAAGACTTTGCTGTTTGGAGGATGAGAAAACCGTTATACTATACAATTGAAACTCAGACCTTATGTCTCAAAATCGGTAGCGGCATCAAGTAGTGATCTCAAGGGGCTCTGATAACTACCTAAAACCAGGTGGGCCGTGAACTCGTTCACTTATCTAAGCAATGAAGAAACAAAACAGCAATCCCAATAAATATCATAGATTAAACACAAATAATTAAATCAGTAATTGTTATATGTCAAGGACTTTTTGGCGGGAATGCGAAACTTGCGAATTGTTATTTTTTTGTATATTTATTGTTTCTTCAGGATTAAATATGTAATAACGGTGGTTTAATAACTGTTTAATGTCTGTTAAAGTGCACAAATGTGGGAAAATTACACAAAGCCGCTGGATGTAGCTCCTTGGGATCTTCCAAAAAGGCTACTGAATTAGTCTCAGTAAATAATACCATTTTACTAAGATTATATTTCACCCCATATCATCTCACCACATTTCATTTCATTTAATTTCGTAAGTTGATTAATGTTTCAAATTAATTAACTTCATTTCATTTCGCTCCATAACATTTTTCATAAAAAGAATATGCATATGATTAGGCTGTATGGTATGATACTTTTGCCTTTACAGTTGGAAAAGTAGAACTACTTACTGTCATGTGTCAAATCATTGGAAATTGCATAGATAATACACCAAAGTAAATGCAACATGAACTCGTGCTCCATGTGGAAAGTTTAGTAATTTAGTTTAGTTTGAATTGTTCAATTTAACTCAAAATGAAAGACGAAAGTGAAGAGAACAAGCCTCAAACGCAGGCCAAAGTAACTTCTTTTGTGCTAGAATCGTTTGATTTACTTAAAGCTGCGAAAGACGACGCTAGATTAACAGGAGGTACCAAAATTATAACACAGTTGCAAGACAATGAGGTTAGTTTTTTGTTATTTTCACCAAATTAGTGAAATTTACTTGTTTTGTAACCATTTTAAAAGTAATGTGTTAATGAAATAATCACCTTTGTTTGGACAGAATGAAAAAGACGTGCAATATGTATTGAAAAGGCTAGTTCGAAGCTTAGGCGCGAATGTACCGGATATGAGGACGGGATATTTCGCCACCCTGGTCGCATTGCTAACAAAATTCGATCAAATCACCGTAACAAAGCTCCTGGAACTAGTGAAAAAAGAATTGCACGCTAATGGCTCTTCAAAAAGTGTGAGTACACTAGTGCATCCAAAATGCATTCAGTAAATCCAAAATTAAATTCTTTGAAAAGCAACAGCACGCAATATTCATCAGTTTAAATAATACTTTAAATGATGATTTCAAATGCTTTTAAATTATTGAAAATTTCTCTTATGCCTGTATTCTGTAAAACCCAAAAAGTCTTATATCCGTGTATTATGTCTGGTTGTGTTATGAAATATGCTTCACCAGATTATTTCTAAAACTTGGAGCCAACACTGAAATTAACTAAAAAAGAATGTTTGAAACAAACAATACGAAAATACCACCAGTTTCAGTTCAATGGTCAAGCTGAAGTTTATTATGTGCTTGATTAAAAAAGTTGAATTTACATTTCTAGAAATTCTATACCACATGGTTCTAAAGAAAATTAAAAATGATGAATAATTTAAAATTTAGTTATTACTAAATCTATATATATAAAAATGAATTGCTGTTTGTTAGTCTCGCTAAAACTTGAGAACGGCTGTACCAATTTGGTTAATTTTAAAAGGTTGACAAATATGAAAATACTCGGAATTAAATAAAAATAACAATTTTGTTTTTCCTTTGATGTGTCCCCAGTCAGACGGATTCCTTTTGTTTGTTTTCAGTTTATTTTATACAAAAGTTTAGGTCTTTTATTTATCGACTGAGGCACTAGGAAGTCTGGCGGGTCAACTAGTTGTAAATATATTGATAACCCATGACATTCTTAATGTTTTAGGAAGTAGGAGATGTCGCTCTGGGACAGATATTAGTGTGTGGAGCTGTTTTCCGATCTGGATTAATAATGAAATGCACGACTGAAGAACAAACTGAAATTATTAAGCTCTTAATGAGTGCAAGCAAAAAAAAAACATATTTAAGCACTGTTGCTTATCTTATTTTCCTGGATTTCATCAATGGAGTAAGTTTAATTTTTTTTAAACATCCATTTGCATATTGATTCATAAATGTTGTTTTCATTATTGTACTTGTTCAACATTTGAAACATTAATTTGCGGCATTAATGAAAATCGTATTGCTGCAACGGGAGCTTTTAACTAATACCAAATACTTTTGTTAAAACTCTGAGATTATAAGAAAACTTGTAAAAGTTTATAACAATGTACACTTTAATCATTTGATATATAGTTTATTTAAAACACTTTAATAATCTACCAAGAATCATTTAAATACAAACAAGGGGATGATGGGATGAATCTAATATTTTCATATTTAAGCTTAATCGTATTTAATTTTTCAACAATATGCACATGTTGGCAAAATTACATGGCCTCAGCAATTTCAAATTCAAACTTGTACTTGTGCATCTTAATTTATTAGTTTTAACAAAATTAAATGATAGTTTTCAATATTTTTTTCTGTTTTTTAAGAACCACTGCTTAAATGTTAATCTATGTATTTAACAGTGTTTATTGTTTCAGGATTAGTCTTCCTGAGTATAATAAGTTAGTTTTCTTAATACTTGATACTAGGTAGATTAAACAATGTTTATAATTAATTTCAGCTGGTACGTCAGTGTTAGCTGTATAAATTTTGGCAAACAAGCAATTAATTTTTGAAACAAGACTTGTATATAGTTCTCAGTGGTATGCAGCAGTTTAGCTGTGGCCCTGGCATTACTGATATCTATGAGCAACACTAACCACTCACCGTATTCATCAAATAACAATGCCATGAAAGTACAAGACGCATGCATGATATCAAATTGTTCTACAAATATCCTTTTTTTTCTTTTTTTCAGTTAGATGTTGAAAATTTCACTTCAATTGTTTGGTCAAACATAAAACAAGATTTCAAGAAAGAATTATCCGAACATACTCTCGACTCTCTATACTTTCTTATGGTAGCAAACAAAAAGTTTCCAGATGTAGTAAAACTCAGGAAATTAATTGGCACTTCTGAAATACTGTGTGAAGATAATATCCAACCAGTATGTGAGAAACTAATGGTATGTACACTAAGACTTAAATAGTTCATTCAAAAATTTAATTAATTTTGTAGTATTTTGTACAGTTTTTTCAAGTAGTCGATATAATTAATTTTTGCCATATACCTACCGGCTTTGGAATGAGCACGTCTCTGTGGTGTTTCCTGAGCACTATGACATGTCAAACGAGGCTTGTGGAGAGTATTTAATGATAGATAGCGGCTTGGCTCTGCCCCAGGCAATGCTGGCGTCCATGAGCAATGGTAACCACTCAACATCAGGAGGGCCGTATGCCTGCAAGAACAATAAAAAATAAATAAAAGTACATACTTTTAAATCATAATCTCGAGGTTTTTATTTTAATTTTGTTATTTACAATATTTGTGATAACAAATAATTAAGGTGTAACATAATAACTAGTGCTAACTACTATTTAATTTTCTATATCAAATAATTACCTTGAGATTGACGACATAACTAATTTTAATTATTGGATGTGTTTCATATAGAAAGTTGATGATAATTTTGGTTTATTTCCTGTATTGAAATATATTTTTTTCAGACCGGTGTTGATTTTTCTTCACTGAATCATCCTATCTATAAAGAGATAGGAGCGCAAATAGCAAACTCACCACATCTGCAACTTTTCTGGTTATCGGGTATTGACAGTCAACTCACAAAACACAATCGTAACAGAGAACTGGTCGCTGTTAACATACTAACTACGATATTCAACAACATTGAAAACAATCATGAGGTCTTACCGGAATTGATAAGTCGCAATTTTTTCAAACTTTTTATTGATTGGTTCAAAGGTTTGCAGACAGCTAGTAAAATAAGAAATAAAAAGGACAATGAGGATGACAATAAAATTATGATTAAGAAACAAAAAGAACTTCTGAATTCACTCTCAAAGGCATTAAAGTCTGAGAATGTTGATGGAAAAATAAGAGTTGAAATATTAAAGAAACTACTTTTCAATCCTGGAGAGATGAATTTCATTGAGATAACAGGCACCTCTGTGGTTAAAATCATTATCTCCGATTTAGACAAGGATGGTGTTAAAAAAATGGCCAAGCTATTCAAAGGAGTACTATTGAATTCTTCGAAGAAATTCATCAGGGAAGGTACAGAGAGAATCTGGTATAATAATGAAAGGGTGAAAGCAGCTGAAATGCTATCTTATTTAGTAAGTCACGAGGTAGTTAAAGACGACGTAGATTTTAAATTAACATACATGAAACTCCTCATGTGTTTTGGCTTCTTCAAAATTGGTGGTGATGAAAATGTTGCTATCAGTATAGATTTATCAGGTAATTATTATTTTAATGTATTTCAACATTTTCTGAAGTTCCCACAGATTACAGACATAACTTAAACTTTGCATAACATACATTTACAGTATAATTGACCAAATATAATAATTGTAAAAGTTATAGATTTCCACACCTGAAAATATCCATAGAAATATTTGGATTGGACCACATAAGATTCTCACTTTGATAATTAAAATTTAATTAAACAACCTAATAAAAACTTTTTTTTTCAGTGGCAATAAAATCCTGTTTCTATCGTTGCTTCACATCCCGATTCTCAAACGTCGATAACTTAGTCTCTGTATTATCATCACTTTGTGACTTCATCCGAAATTTACTTGAAAAAGAACAAATACGCTCCAAACTCGAAAAACAGTTCCCCGAAGAAAATATGGAATGCTGGAAAATGCTAATGGAGGTCTGCTCGAATATAGAAAAGAATAACTCAAAGTCCAAAGTAGAGAATGTATTTCTTATATTACTCTATCAGCTTGGTTTGTTTCTATTTTCTGAACCCACACATGTAAAAATTGCAACAAGTTCTATAAAGGAGTTAAGGAGTTGTTATGAACACTACAAAAAAGGTAAAAAGAAAAAGAAAGTTGTGAAGGATACTGACATTAATGGGAATCTAGAGTGGATTGAAGTTTTAGTGGAAGTTTTGCTATCGATACTGTCAGCTGAGTCAAGTGTACTGAGATCAGTAGTACAGTGCGTATTTAGGCTTTTATGGGAGTATTTAACACCATCAGCTATCGAACAGATTGTATCCGTGTTAGACCCCGAAAGTGAATCTAATCCATTGACTCAGGATAGCGAATCTGAAGCCGAAGAATCAGATGGAGAGGAGAACATTGAAGAAAACAGTGACAATGAAAGTGATAGTGAAGTAGACGATGAAAATGATGAGGAGGAAATGAAAACGCCAGATCAATTACGGATGGCAGTTCAAAAAGCATTAGGAGCAGCCGCCACAAGCTCTGATACGGAAAGCGTGGACGCAGATATGCTCGATGAAGAAGAAGGCAAGAAATTAGACGAAGCTCTCGCGGAAGCATTCAAACAATACCAGCAAGGTAAAACAAAGAAAACAAAAAAAGACCGTAAAGATAAAAAAGCGCTTTCAGACTTTCGAATACGCGTCTTAGACTTGATAGATATATATTTGGAGAAGGACCCATCTATGGATATTTGTCTAGCGATGATTGCGCCGTTGACAAGATGCCTCGAATTTTGCTTACAGGACAACCAGTTGAGTGAGCTCGAAAACCGCGTAAGGAAAACTATTAAGAATCTGACGAAAATAAGGAAGTTTTCTTCGACAAATGATGTTACTGCAAAAATACTCAGCGACTATCTGAGATCAGTAATGGATAAAGGGGAAAGATCCCACTTTATGTATCAAGCTTTAGGTGATGTTGTAACATACTTTGTGACGTTTATAATACATTGCTCACAAAAAATCGAAAGCAGTAGTTTAAAGTCACCAAAAAAGCTTAAAACGTCTCCCATCATGGAACTGCTAAAAGAAGCAACACAAAACTACTTTCAGAACCGCAGTTGCTTGTTACCAATCATTCTGTTTCACAACGTTCTACAAATGGAATGGGAAGGAATTTATGAGTTAGCCCCGATCGTAATAGAGAATGTGTTCAATCCCGAAGTTAGACAGTTCCGGCGCAACGAGGGATTGGAACTTTTGGCGGGCCTGTATCGAGCCTTGAAGAGAAACAAACCCGAAACGGATAAAGCGCTCGCTTGTCTAGATAATTTGGAAAATAAATTTGATATTACATTAAGAAAAACACTGAAGGGGCAACAGCAATTGGCTGTCAAAAACAATTTCTTCCTATTACTAAAAAAATTGATAAACAGCATGAAAATTTTCCACGAGAGCTGCCATGTTAAATGTAATTTAGATTTTAATACTTTGTTAGAAATCGTAGGTTCTTGTAAGGGTACACTAAAAGCGAGTGAAAATAATAAGAAAGCTAATGCGATTAACCAAAATAGTAAAAATGGTGAAATCGCGAGTAAGCAGCCTAAAAAAAATTTAAAGAATAATATAAAAAACAAAAGAAAACTAGAACACATGAACGGACACGCTGATGCGCACGGAAAGAAAAAACGAAGAGATTCTGAAACAGTTGATTTGTAAAATATTTTTTGTATAATTTATCATTTTCACAATGAATANAAAGCTAATGCGATTAACCAAAATAGTAAAAATGGTGAAATCGCGAGTAAGCAGCCTAAAAAAAATTTAAAGAATAATATAAAAAACAAAAGAAAACTAGAACACATGAACGGACACGCTGATGCGCACGGAAAGAAAAAACGAAGAGATTCTGAAACAGTTGATTTGTAAAATATTTTTTGTATAATTTATCATTTTCACAATGAATATAATTATTTTACATAATTTAAAAATTTCGTCTTTCTTTCTTCCCTTTAGTTTAGTAAAATATTAACTCAAAATATGCATTCAAGCTTTGACTACCTAACTTTGGATATAAGTTATTCAAACATAATTTATTTAAAACCAAAGCTAGTATGTACATAGCGACATCTATAAAAAAGGTTATTACACTCTGTGAAACGCTCAATAGGTGGCGTTATAAATATCCGCTCTGAGTTACTAGACCAAATAAAGTTATTAGAAGATTGAAGTGTGGAACACATGAAATACCATTGTTTTGGATAAAATATTTCTTAGTTTTTAAGGGCATGCACTTTGTGACAGTTAAGGGATTCAGTAACTAGACTAGACTCTAATACTTTTAAGTTTTGAACAATAGCTTCGTTTCTTTGCCTCCTTAAAAATTACAGAAAATTTTGACTAATCTCATCGCATTATTTAAACCTAATCAACAGAATTGTCGTAATAAATATGAAGTTTGGCGTGTAGAAAGGCTCAAACGAAGCGATATGTTTTCTTAAATTCACTAACTTCTTATGACAATATAATACAAAGCATTTACCAGAGCTCAAGAGCTTTCCTACGTTACTTAGATAGTAAAAAACAATATTGAAAGAATAATAAAATTATATTTTAGCTGTAAACCAAACCATATAATTAAGATTAATCAGTGACAGTAGAATGACACAGAAAATATATGGCAACACAAAATCAACCGGAAGTAAGTAGTAACTCATATGTTTCACAACCTGCTCAAAACTCTGCCAGCCATCTTTTGTCGAAAAATCATTTGTTTCGTGTCTTCAGGGTAAATTTCACAATTGTAATTAATGTCAGAGCCACAGTCTTCGCTTTTATTAAAAAAGCAATTAGCTGGTAAGTTCTTATTTAACATAAAACTCATGTATAATATGCCAGTCACCGCGCTAGTCAAGTTCTGAACGAAATTCGTTGACCTTATCGAGTCAAATTTGGTAACTATTAATTGTAGTATTTAACGCATTTATAGATTATATTTCAGGTCTAATGGTGTTAGGTTAATTAATGAGGAATAAACCTGCAAAATAAAATCAATATCCGTTGCGATGACAGGTACACTTTGCCAAAGTCAAACTGTAGATCGAGTGTATTTACGATTTGGATTTGGCAAAGGTTCACATTACTCGCGAACAATGCGGTTAAATGTCCATAATCTTCCGATCTGTGCATTGTCGTTTGTAAAATGAGTGTCTTTTAAATCTTTTTTTTATTTCAGAACTGAACAAAAACCCAGTAGAAGGCTTTTCTGCTGGCTTAATAGATGACAATGATATATACAAATGGGAAGTCCTCATTATTGGTCCCCCAGACACACTATAGTGAGTAAATACCCAAGTTATATATAGTTCAAAGCTATATCTCTCAGTAATCACTATTACTAATTGTTTGCATATTGTAATGTTTATAAAAATGCTGGTGGAATGGCCTTTAAGATGTGTACTATCATCCTGCATATTTCTTCAAAGAAGCTTCAAGTTCTTCAGTTCTGATGGTTCAAGGCAGGTGGCAACATTCACATTGTGATGTCTAAAAACTCCTGTAACCACCATACGGGCTGCAAGTTTTTTAACCACCTATTTAATAAAGAAAAGTATTAAATTATGAGACATGTTGTTTATTCTTATAAAAATATTTTCAGCGAGGGAGGTTTCTTTAAAGCACATTTAAATTTTCCCAAGGAATATCCTTTGAGACCACCCCGGATGAAATTTGTGACTGAAATATGGCATCCAAACAGTGAGTACGATGATAATTTTTTTTAGTTAATAATAGTAGAGTATTCTTAACATTTTAAGTTTAGATTACTTTTATATTGACTTAAAGTTAAACCCATTAAGTTTGTTTTGCAAGTGCTTATCATAAATTAGATGTCTAACTATTCTTTGTTTTGTTTTGAATTTGCATCTTTTTCACTGAATTAGAAAAATATAGCCTTACTGTAAAGTGCTTAACTCATTAAAATCTAAGGGTAATTTGATTTGGTACAAATTCATTATGATTACAGCTAATAAATATTGTATAGAAAATAAATATGAAAACTACAGTATTTATAATTGGAACGAAGTTCCTTATCGCGCGTTGTGAAAGTGGGCTAGACGGAAAAAATTCTTACGAAAAGTTGTCACGACACTTTTTAGATCCGTCATTCTGACCAATCAAGGTGTAGGCGCTTATCGTGTGACATTGCTCGTATCCGATTGGTCCGCGTAATGAGTACAGTTTCTCGAGATAGCGTTTCAATAATAGTAATTTAGTTCATAGTATTGTCTTTTTCTTCTTCATAATGCCGTAATTTATTATTATATCTTTAAAAAAAATTACAATTCCTTCACTAATTAATCGAAAGGAACTTCGTTCGATCCGGGTGTCCCTTGACACCTCTGAAGTTTGTAATGAAGTCTGAACATATTGTTCATCCAAACGAATCTGTACTGTCCTGACTATTTCTGTTTCAAAGCAGTGTCATACAATACAATTGAGACTGACTTGATGTCTAAAACTGGATAATGACATTTACAAAATGGGATTTCACTCTGGTAACTATATATAACTATAATACCAGGTGGACCATTACACAATTGACTCTTATATCCAATAAATAAATAAGAGTTTAATAAAAAAGCAAAGGTGAACTTCTTAGTACCATGGATTTACTATGTGGGTGCCTTCTATTATATTGTAGAGAGGAATTTATGGTGCAGGTTTAAGGAGTCCCTACAAATGTGGATTACACTCGAATTATTTATGTAATTAATGTAATGAAAATATGACTGTTTCAGTTGATAAAAATGGTGATGTCTGCATATCAATACTCCACGAGCCAGGTGATGACAAATGGGGTTATGAAAAAGCTTCAGAACGATGGTTACCTGTGCACACAGTTGAGACTATACTGATCAGTGTAATTTCAATGCTCGCTGATCCAAATGATGAGAGTCCCGCTAATGTTGATGCTGCAGTAAGTGGTTTTTTTTTTGTGTGCAATTACAATGTTTTCATTTTAATTCAATAATTTCATTGTAGTTGTAAATGTTTTTGTTATAGAATATTATATATTACTTAACCTATTAAATGCATTTGTAGCAATTTATATAGCTTAGAGCAGGCAGAACATGATGCTAATATACCAAATAGTTGATAGGCAAACTGTTTTCTGCATAATATTTTTTTTAATGTTTTGAATTTCATAATTGATTTGACAGTTGAAATCAGTTTTTATTAGAAAAATATGTGGTAATGTCCAAAATTAAAACTGATATTTCAGTTCGCTTTCTTTAATTGAATTTAATAATTTAATTCATTAATGAATGAATTCATGAATGAAATTTAATAATTTAATCCATTAATATTTAAAAATTAATATCATTTTAAACTTTCAGACACACTTTTGTATATCAGTAGGGAATTAAGCAGGTAGCGATCACTAACATATTATTTAAACACATCACACGCAAAGACACTACTTGTGTACTTAGAGAGGCATAATATAATCTGCCCTAACCAGATATCTTTACTATTCTCGATCATTATTTTTCTGAAGTATACCTTAAAATTTTGGATATGTATATTTTTAGAACTCTTGGTTTCCCTAATAAAGAAATAAAATATTTATCAATACAAAGTTGTACTTTGATCGTATCAAGTATAAAATGCTTCTATAGGAATAATTTGTATTATGTAGATAGTTGATTTAACTAACTCACTTGTACAAATCTTTTTTTTTTATTGCTTACATGGGTAGGCAACTCACAGCCCATCTGGTGTTAACCTAGCAATGCTCAGAAACAAATTATGCATAAGCAAGATATAAGCCAGGCAAAATTCAAATTGAATCTTAGTACAATTATTCAAACTGATAGAGACTAGAAACTGTTCTATAAATATAGAATCTGAACATTTAATATGTGGGCGTACATACCTTTACGCACATTGAATTTGAATGTTATTTTTAAACAGTGACACTATGCTTTTTGTTGTGATTATAAGGAACATTACAAATATACTGATTTATGAAAACTGTCCACACTCCACCCATTGTACAGTTATGACTATGCCACACCTCTGCAGAACCAATGACAAGTGTAAAGTTTCAACTCACAATATATAATGATTTTTGAACACAGAAGTAGAATAATGAAAGAAAATTAGAAAAATTGATTTTAACATTTGCTCAATTGAGAAGGTTATAATTGATAAATTGTTGTTTTGAAGTATAGAAGTATAAATTAAGTATGTTGGTTCATCTTTTCAAAGAAACAATAAGTCTTTCATATGTAAGCATCACATTTTTATGTTATCTAATATACTTTATATATTATTAAAAAACCTCATTCATCATCATTTTTTTAATTGTGTTGGAGTGACATACTGTATTGTAAGCTACAGAAGTAATTACCTCCATTTAGTTTGTGCATGTAGATGTATTTGTGTAGAACTAATCACCTAACCATTGTTTGATTCCACAGAAAGAATGGAGAGAACGATATTCGGAATTCAAAAAGAAAGTTGCCAGATGTGTTAGGAAAAGTCAAGAAGATTGCTTCTAGGAGCAAAAGGATATTTAGAAAAGAATATATATATTGCTGAAAAAGGGCCATTGTGACACCGGCAAACATTTTACTACAAACACTGAAAAACGTTATACATTTGGCATCGCCGTACGCATCCCCTTACACCAAATCCGCACACGTCCACAGCTGATGTGTTTGCTTATTCTGTTTCATTTTTGCAGAAAGAGTGGAGAGAATCCTATTCGGAGTTTAAAAGGAAAGTAGCACAGTGTGTGAGAAAGAGCCAAGAGGATTGTTCCTAATAACAGTGCCCTTTTTCATAATTTGTTTGGATTGTGAGAGTGATTGGTGAGATGTGGTTAGGACGCTGAGCGGACGCCCCCGCCTGGCCCAGAGACTATATTCAAATTGATTTAAAATAAATACTTATAATAATGAGATGGTATCGCTGCCGTATTTTATAAATAAAATAGAATTGAAGGTCTTTTTTTCATCTTTTTTAAGACATGTTAGTTAGCAATTGTTATAATGATGAAATGTGTAAGGTAATTTTATAGAAAAATAAATCTGCATTTTTTTCTTCGTAATCCCCCCTATATTGTCTGCTTTGAAGTATGATCTCTATATGATAAAAACCAAATTTCAAAATGTTTTTTTATGTATTCAAAGTATGAAAATAGCAGCTTTAAAGAATGTGCATAATACATTTAAATTATTGGTTACTGAAGAGCTTTTATTCAATANAAATGTGTAAGGTAATTTTATAGAAAAATAAATCTGCATTTTTTTCTTCGTAATCCCCCCTATATTGTCTGCTTTGAAGTATGATCTCTATATGATAAAAACCAAATTTCAAAATGTTTTTTTATGTATTCAAAGTATGAAAATAGCAGCTTTAAAGAATGTGCATAATACATTTAAATTATTGGTTACTGAAGAGCTTTTATTCAATAATCATTGTTCGTGCTTTACGAACCCAAATTAATGTAGTGCTGATTTTATAATCCACATTAATACCTAATACTTTCATTAAATAAAAAATACTTTCTGTAAAAATTGTATCAATTTCACTTTGCCTTAATGCAATGAAGTAGGTTTTTTTAAATCATTAAGCTTTTGAGTTTTGTATATTGTTTCAAAGAGTTGAGATGGTGTCTTAAACATACGCTTTATATAAAATCAATACATATTGTTACCGAGATAAATACATATATAGTGAGAAATGCATAGTGATGAACCCCTATTTTGGTCTACATCATGATCGTTGATTTGTAATGTGTGTATACTGTTTCTCTGTATGTATATTTTTTGCTATAAAATCAATGCAGTGAACTCTATATTTTATTTGAATCCTTTTATGCCTTTAAGAAAACATACAAAATATAAATCATATTATTTTGTGGGGAGATCTCTAATCAAAATTATTAACCAGACATCAGCTATAATCTTTGAAGTGGTTTATGAGCCTCCCAACAAATGTAATAAGACCATATTGCTGAAAATTAGATAAGATAATATTGATGAAAATTGGGAATATCTTAATTTTTTTAATCTGCTTTCAAACAACTTTAAAAACATTATTTTTTTATTCACTGTCTGAATTTTCCGCTAAAATGACACCTTGAATACTTTTTGGATCAAAAGTACTTTCAAAACATCTCTTAAATACTGATTTTATCTTAGTCCTTGAAGTTGGAGATGCTGGAATAACATTATCAAAGTCTATTTGTTCTTTAACATTATCTAAATTATTACTAGCTTTAAGATTTATATCATCAGGGATATCAACAAAATTAAATAGATGAGAGTCTTCTTCTAAGCACTTAGAAAATTCAACATCTATATGCCGTTTCTTTTTTACTGAGCCTTGAGTATTACATGTATCTTTTCTTTTATTTCTTTCCTTTGTCGTAGTGCTCTGTGTTGATGTTGCTTGTGTTGCATTGTCTGGTTTAGATGTTGCTAACACAAAATGTGCTTCAAAAGTAGTTCCATTATGGACTATGAATACAGCTGGACGACCTGTAGTCTCAAAATGCAGTTGCAACGGCAAATTTAATGCTTCAGCAAACGCAAGTAGGGCTCTGAATTCTTTTAATGTAAATGTTATAGTGGTTTCCTCTCCTATGATGTAGTTGTCAAATTCAGCAGGATCTAAGCTTACATGTGTTCGAATTATTTTTGTCAGATCCATATTACTATCAATATAATTTTTTATTACCAGTGACTTAGTTGTGGCCTCTAGTGTCACTTGGTCATCAGAGGTTTGGAAGCTGTTCAGTGTTTCGTTTAGTATTCTTTGAGGTGAAGTAATTCTGAAAAATATTTCATTACAATCTAACAGTGATAAAAATAAATTAATATTTTATTTTGGTTACAATCTTTACCTGTTTGGTACTGTATCTTTAGTGTACACAGCCTGCATCGCTTTACAGTCTAATATTGATACAAAATGTGTCTTAACTATACCATGCTTGCATTTCAAACAAAATATTAACTTGCAAGATTCTAGATCTAATTTCATTTCCAAACTTTCTACCTGTTTATCAATGTGAGCTGGAGATTTAAAGGCGTTTAAAGCAGACTTCATCGATATTTTGCATTTCAGACCTTCGTTATCTTCAGTCGAGTAATAATTGTAGTTAAAATAAGAAAAGAAGTTTTTGTTAAATTTAATCATCGCATAGGCGGATTCGGCTGCATTCAATGTTCTCAATAATATACAGTCGGGTAATGACTCCAGGTATAATTCATCTCCAAATCGAGCTAAGGTATGTACTGTTCTTGCTAAAACTAAAATTATATAAAAATTATATTCGTTTCCGAGCCAGCATAATTTCAGTATTGATAACACACACTTTATATCTTACTTTATATTACCTTTAACATTAGGTCCCGGAACGTGACACTTCATTGTTATGTTGACTTCCTCAGAAAGTTAACTAAAATCTACTTTAAATTCATTTCTAGGCTTTAACATCAATATAAGGATTACCTATGTTTTGACTATAAATTTTTGTCTAATTTCCTGATCCTGACCTACTGAGATACCAGGTAATAATAGGATGATACGAGTGACAGATATTTGACAGTTCTCGTGATGCGACGACAATTTAATGATCCAAATGATCCAAAGAAAATTAATCCACATGATTATTTTAAAAATTGTACTGTAAATATTTATAAACTATTCTACATATTGATAGATTGACTATTGATGGTTTGACTATACAGAAATATTTTTTATTTAGTACCATTGTAACAAAATCATTATAGAGAAAATTTTGATTTATTTATTATTGTTTAATAATAAATTACCTATTTTATAATACCCTATGGTTATATTAAACAACAGATACAAAGTAGAAATAAACAAACCATCCTCTTTTTTATTGTGTATTAGGGTGAATGATAATCATATAAAATCTATTGTGAAATTATGGTATGCATGTATATATAAATTATTTTAAAAGACGGTTTTTTAATATTTATCTTGTCACAATAGCAATAGGCAGGACTTTAGAATCATAATTACAGTTAGTTATCGCTAAGTGAGTACTCGCTCAATCTTATCGCAGTACTGCATTTATTGTATGAAACAAAAGATATTTAGAAAACTGAGTCATTATGGTAGTTGAAATGATTGTATACACAATACTCGTGGAACCACTATTTGACTTGAAATAGTCTATTCAATAACATCTCGATTAACTAATTTGATGAATGAACAATGTTGCGCCCAATTCAATCGACTATTGATATCGATCGATGTCTCGAAGTGAACAGTTCCGTTATTTATTTTCGACAGTAGGTATGTGGATGGTAATACTTAATATAGAACAGTTTGAAGTATGTGCACCTGACGAGTTACAACAGACCGTTATTCGTGGCCCTACTCGGTGATCTATTAACTGTATAAAATAAACGCTCCACAGACTACTAAGAGAATTTTTGTTAATAATGAACTTGATTTGTGCGTGAATGCACTGTTATGTGAGGTTGTGTTTTATTGTTTAGCTGGATTTAATTAAAATAAATGCCGCAGAGAAAGTTTGTAACGAAACTAAAAAACCTATCTCGTTTTCAGTTCCTAATAATTTTAATTTTAGTGAATTAAATATTGTAGAACATTTTTTCGTACAGTAAGGTGAAGTGCGAACAATGAAATTAAGCCGTAAGTATATAAAGCAGTGATTATCAAACTTATTTCTTTTACCGCCCCCTTTGAAAATCAATTATTTTTCAGCGCCCCCCTTTTTATACACCCCTAAAACTGAAAAAAACACAATTTTATTTCATCATTCAGTACTTTAATTAATTTAGTTATATTAGTCGGTTCTGATGTTTAAACTTACATTCTAAACTAGAAAATTTTACCAGTGAGAGCAAATAAAACCCAACTTTATAATATTAATAATATATTTTAATCAAATAAAAAAAAAACCATATAAATATGTAATGTGATTTCGTTTTTATACTAATCTAATGAGATGGATGAATTTGATAATATTTAATAAGTTTGTTGATATCAGGTTCGATTTTACTCAAAAACAGTTCTAAGTCGCCGCGTTCGGTAACTTGCAAATGATTTCTCTATTTAGTAGAAAGTAAGTAGAAAGAAGGTAAAAAAAAACTTCAATTTATGTTATTTTACGTATGTATAATATTTTAAAACTCTTCATGGTAGTTTTAAAATAATTTCTGGTGCAATGTAATTATGATAAAATTGCTTTAATTTTTTTACTGTCATCAATCATGTTCCTTGATCCACAGAAACTTGTTATAACTTGATTGCGTACGGTATGCGGGCTATCCTACGAAATCTATGTTAAGTATTTTAAGTTTTTATAACATCATACAGGGTAGAAATATAAACTAATTATTCGTTATTGTGTAGTACGTGAGTTTTAATTTTAGTGGAATTTAAAATACTATATAAATTAAATTAAATTACAAATTATACATCGTCCCCCTAACCCACATCAACGCCCCCCATTTTTTCTGGGCCCCTTAACGCCCCCCTCTAGGTTTCAAACGCCCCCAAGGGGGCGTTATCGCCCACTTTGAGAAAGACTGATATAAAGGAATAACATTGTGCTGAATATATTTAAAAATAGATAGAAATTATAAATTAATTTAAATAATAAAAAAAAATATTTCTTTAGATTTTTGGGCAAACTCACGCGCCACCTGATGTTATGTGGGTACGGAGACCATATTCGTCGCACGAATGCCACTACCCATCTTGAGACATGAGGTCGAAGCGGCTATTCCACGTTAAATGAATGTACATTCCTATCAATAATAAATTTTTGATTACATACTTACGCAAAATTTATAAATTTGAAAAGTTCGATTTATATTGCTCGATTCCATTCGTGGAAGTTATTAAGGAAAATTAAAGTTTAGCTACCACATTACCGATTCGTGATTGTGTAACGCAAATATACAAGTAAATAAAGTTTGTGTTAAATATTATAACTTTATTAATCTCCGGACGACCTGTTCATTAAATATATTAGTTAATAATCTTACATTAGTGGAATATAATGGTGCTTTTAGGTACCTCAAGCACCGGTCATCGTTCTCGTCGAACCCGTCGCTTGTGACGAAGGGCTCGACGAGTAAATTAACCCACAGACACAGCTCACTGAGTTTCTCGCTGGATCTTCTCAGTGGGTCGCGTTTCCGATCCGCTGGTAGATTCTGCGAAACACAGGTCTTACTAGGGTTCGTGTTAGCAACGTCGTCAGGTTTGTGCCCCGTGAGCTCACCTACTAGTTAAGGTTACGCTGAAATAGCCTCTCAAGGCTATCAGCTTAGGTAAGGAACAAAAAAATAATCTTTTAAGCATTTGTTAGTATTACCATAACCGGTTTTTTTATTGCATAAATGAGTGGACGAACTCACAGCCAAACTGGTGTCATTCGTGTCCCTTTATCATTTACGTAATTCATTAGTAAAATTGGTAGCTGTCAGCGGAATCGAACACATGTATAGTCGCATCGCGCGATATGAAACCGTATATCCACCGGGCGTCATATCCTCTAGGCCACGACGTCTTCTTCGTTTTTTTCACAGCAATTATGACATATATGATACAGCGTGTAATAAAACAATGTATCAAAGTGACTCAATACAAAATAGAAGATTTGAAACACATGAAATATAAGACAACATAAATTGTTAATGTTTTATGGTTACCGTCGCGAGAGGTAGAATATAAATATGTACCTACCCATCAATTCTAATCTAATACTTTACTAGTTTTATTTAAATCTTTCAAGTAGATTTTGAGCGATATTCGAATGTACCGACAGAATTGAATTTTTTTTTAATTATTATGATAGAGTAATCTTAATTGTTTCAAATCTTATCTAATTATTCGTAGCGTCATTAATTTAAGAAGATATTATATGCTATTACCCTAAATAGAATTCTGTTTGTTATAATTATTTATTACCTAATTAAATAAAGTGATTTTCTGCTTTATTATATTATAATACATTATAATATCTAAGTATAGAAAAAGATCTTTATTCGCAGGGTATAATGTTGTTCCGTAATGATGCCGCAAAATTGCCGTGAATATTGAACTGTAATGGTACAAAGGATATTTGGTTGGATACACCTACATATTGGAATGCTTTTTACCAACGTACCGATTACATCCGCGAATAAAGAAATCTTTAGTCTCGAATAATATAGTAATTGAGTCGCATTTTTTTAATCCGCGAATAGTGAAAACGGGATTGAAGGAAGTGCTAATAAGGAACTTTTACTGTACTAGCTGTAATAAAACACAATATTAAAAAACAAAAATTATCATTTATTTCATACAAGAGAAACCCCGCTTTTTATTATTGCAAATTTTTTACATAAGTATTTCTTTTTTTTTTCTATTCCGATTTCTAATTAAAAATCAATCGCATTATCGATTAATTATGTAATCGATACTCAAATTTGTTTTGTTAAAAAATACGATTAAAATACGGTCCGGATTTCATAAAATAGTTCTTGAATTCCTGTTCGTTTTTAAAGAATTCAAAATTCTCTATGGTTGCATTGGAAATGTGCCATGCGACGATCAATTTACAAGAACCGTCTCCTTCCGCGCAGTATTCAAGGGGCAGCTTAAAAGAAGAGCTTCCTTGAGGATAAAAGGTGTATTCGGTCAGAGTCCTTATACCGCACTCCAATACGTTATCAGCAAGACTCCTTAGTGTACCTTGAATGTACGCAAAAGTTATCGATTAATAATTTTAATCCACTGCTTTATCTTTTATTTTTTTATTGCTTAGATGGATGGACGAGCTCACAGCCCACCTGGTGTTAAGTGGTTACTGGAGCCCATAGACGTCTACAACGTAAATGCGCCACCCACCTCGAGATATAAGTTCTAAGATCTCAGTATAGTTACAACGGCTACCCCATCCTTCGAACCGAAACGCATTACTGCTTCCGAGCGGAAATAGGCGGGGTGGTGGTACCTACCCGTGCGGACTCCCAAGAGGTCCTACCACCAGTAATCTTATCTTTATGCTCTTCTATATTATGTGGTAGGGCCTCTTATGAGCTCACACAAGTAGGTACCACCCAAGGCGTAGTCTCCTGCGAGGAATTGGGAGACTTTGCCCCCCTCGTCTCCCTCTTCCTCTCTGGAGGCGCCAGAATCCGACATAACCTGGTCCGTTACCCTCCTTGACCGGGTATCCGAAATGGATTCTCCAGCGTTAAAAAAAAGGTACCACCTTGCTACTTCTGCCGCGAAACCGTAATGCGTTCCGGTTGGAAGGGTGAGACAGTCGTTATAACTATAAAATTGAAACTTAGTCCTCATATCTCTATGTCAGTGGTCGGCAACCTGCGGCCCATTGACCCCTTGGTTACGGCTCTTCCGCGAAATATTTAGTTCAGGCCCGGAATATTACCTACTTATTTATTATCTTGCCTTGTCAGAGACGAAGTAACCATTTTTATAAAGAAAGGCTATAAAAATATACCGTCTTCTCGCATTAAAACTGTATAATCTCAAAACTTACTCATTTTACAGGAGAGTGTTTTAAAGGTTTAACATGTGATATTTTTAATATTATTCATCTATGCAACATTTTTTTTTTTACCAGTTACATCATCTGTCTTTTAAAGTACCTAAGAAATTATTTATTAATTTTGTTAATAGTAGTCAAAACATAGGTAAACTAAAACTAAATTATGCTCTTTGGACAGTATTTATTATGAGAAAAATACTGATGATACCAAATAATTCCGCATATTAACTCAATTTCGAATATTTTTGGAAATTGTACACTTTCAATGCGAAAAGACGATATATTAAAAAAATGGCTCTTTGATTAAAATTTTAATTGTGTGTTATCTATATTTAGTCTTTTGGTTAACAAGGTTGCCGACCACTGCCCAAGGTGGGTCGCGGCATTTATATAGTGAAATCAGCAGTGGGCATCGGTAACCACGCAACATCAAATGGGGTTTTCACCCGCGTTGCACGCAATAAATAAAATGTAAGAGAGCAATACTTCGAAAACTTTTACGATTCATAAACGCAAAAGCATAAAGTTAAAAAAAATGTAGCGGCATGATCGAAGATAAAAAACAATAAACTTTATTTTGGAACGTCGACAAACGCAGTTAAAGTTGAATTTACCTTGCCGGCCAAGTTCATACTGATTTATCACGATTATTGCAACATCCGCTGGTCGCTGCATTACTACTACTGTAGACAAGAAATTAACATACCATTTACGCAAGTTTCATTGAGGATTCGTGTCGTGACGCTCAGATATCGCTCGAGCGTGTCCTTGAAGTTCGTCTTCAAACATAAATAGTCATCCTCAACGTACAACAGTCGTCGCTGTGTCGGTATCGTTTCGTATTTAATAACAGAGTTAAAGGCGCACGGGTCTCGCTTGACTGATACCTATTAAATTTAGAAAATTATGAAGCCGTACACAAAGCTATTTTAGCATTTTAAGTAATTAATATCGGGAAATAACTAATTTAAACTTAATCGAGTAATAACTAAAGTCGGGAAACTCTAAGTGAAATTAGAAGTAGCAAAACAATGCGACGCGATGATTTCTTAGTTTAGCTAGTTTCTTAGCTTATTAACGATTGGTAGGTAGGGTGTATTCTGAGCCCGAATGAGTACAGTACCTGACGATAAATATTGCACATCGATTTTTGGAAAGAGACTGTCCACTAATTTCGGCTTTATTCTCTCTCTGTTGCACACAACACTAACAGTCCGATATCTATTAGACCCGTACACTACTACTTTGTCAACGGTTGACAAACTTCAAATATGTAGTGTGCGACAGGGACAACGCTCTACGAAAGCCGAAATCAGCCGATCGATTCGTTCTTATATTTTTGTCGGGTACTGTACCATCTTGCCCATTTTTGCAGGCAAGCAGTTACTTTGTTCCGGTTTTAAGTGACGGTCAGATGAACTTGAGACTGTGCTCTCATGCCTTGTGGTGGTGGTAGCGCACGTTTGCCTATCCATGCTATAAAACAATCCTAAACACAAATTGTATTTTTTTTATTGCTCTTGTAGGCAGACGACTACACATTGATACTGCCTACTGCCTACTGCTTAATACTCTTCCCAAGCCTCGTTTGAAGAAGGACATGTCATAGCGCTCGGGAAACATCGCGTTGAGGGGAAAGCCAATTTCAAATCTGAAATGTTGTAGTATGTTTTTAATAACGCATTAAATGGCGATGAAACTGCAATAATAATTGCTGGCTTCTACGATGAAACCGGTTCGCATTAACGTGACAAATACGTTTCCACTTTCCACTCATTTCGAAATAGGTACCTGTTTTTTTTCCTTTCTAGTTTTTTTTACTTAGATTTAAGTATAACTTTGCCAACGTCGGATAGTAGAGGTATCAACATAATTATGCTAAGACATTTACATTACATTTACAGGCATGAACTCATAATAGAGTTATCTATTTATACGTACCTGTTAATAAACAGCATTAGTAAGCAATTTTTTTAAGCAACGTATATGCGTATTCTAGCTAGCATAGGTCTTGCGGTAGGCAGCAACTTGGCTGTGACCTTGGCATTGCTGACGTCCACGAGAGACGATAGTAATTCGTCGCTTACAAAGGCAATAGGTATCCATCGACACTATCTATATTTTGTGGGTAGGTTTTATTAAGCGCTATAAAAATTAATGAGTACGCGAATTGGTGTTTTTAATTGGATGTTTCGCGCGAATCGACTGCTAGCAATTTTTTATTGCATAGATTCATATATTATTATGTATATGAAAAAAGTTTTATAATTACAATTTAATTTAAGGTTTTTTTTTCACATTCAACTTATCAAAACTAGATTTTCTTACCTACATTACATTATATTTTTTATCAATAACTAATGTATTTTTTTTCCTCGAGGTGTATTTAACTTTTTTATTGACCCCGGTAGCAAGATTAATTATATCACTAACGTGCAGAGCCAAGTTTCTAACATTACTGTTTCAACGCCTAAAAGAATTACGGCAAAAAATAGTCCGTACATCTATATATGTATATAAATGAATGAATATAAAATGAATGGCTGTTTGTTAGTCTCGCTGAAATTCGAGTATGGCTGGACCGATTTGGCTAATTTTGATCTTGAATTATTCGTGGAAATCTAGAGAAGGTTTAAAAGGTAGATAAATATGAAAATGCTCGGAATTAAATAAAAATAACAATTTTATTTTTCCTTTGATGTGTCCCCCCCGGCGGACGGATTCCTTTTGTTTGTTTTAAGTTTATTTAATACAAAAGATTAGGTTTATTTAATACAAAAGATTATTTATCGATTGAGGCACTACGAAGTCTGCCGAGTCAGCTAGTATTACATAAATATTTTGAACAGAGAATAATGCTCTTTGTACGTACATAGTTATTTAGCTCACTTTAGTTTAGCTATGTTTTTTAATATTAGGTTTGGTTTGTATTGTTGGTTTCCCAAATAAATAAATAAATAGTATATAAATATTTTGAACCGTGAATAAGCCTATTTGTACGTACATACGTCTATGTATACACATTATTATGTAGTTCTTGATAATTTGACAATTACCCGTATATATGTTTAAAAGGTTTCCATTTGCAACATCGCAGAAGGATTTTTCAATTGTTTTTGCGATTCGATTCCTATCTGCTCAATCGCTACAGATACATCAATTATTATCTATAGCGCTTTTTGCTTTTGAATTTATATGTTATTAACTAATTCAAACACAATACCGGATACCGTCCAAAAGCTGACCGTGTTTGCAATTGGACTATCTCACTCACTCTCACTTTTTCTCGTCTTTTGTTTTACCATAAAATGCGCGTCACATACATGCGTGTGAACACACAAAATCAAAAGAAAAAAAAAAAAAAAGAAACAGCTTATTTAAAGAAAATAAAATTGCTTTCCTGACAGTCCAACAAAAAATTCGAAGCTGTTTATACCGAACCATCTTGTCATTAACAATATACCGCTAATTGATCTAAAATAAAAGATAATAAAACGCCCCTCAGATCTGCCCCTTCCAAAGGTACGTAACAATCACGAAGACTATGTCAAGAGTGAAACGATTAAGCAGAATAGGTATTATTAGTAATAGGTATTATTATTAAAAGGACTAGTGGATGTCACAAATAGTTTTACTAGTAAATTATATAGTAGTAAAAATATAGATTCCAGTAATGACACCAGGTCTGCCTCGAGCCCGTCTGCTCTATACGATTATTATATCACTATCACTACATAGTATAAAACAAAGTCTCTTTCTCTATCCCTAAATCCCTATGTATGCTTAAATCTTTAAAACTACGCAACGGATTTTGATGCGTTTTTTTTAAATAGAGTGATTGAAAAGGAAGGTTTATTTATATGAGTAATAGCATCCATTAAATAGTAGAGAAATCAATAATAAATTACAGTTTCCGAAGCGAAGCGAGGGCGGGTCGCTAGTCTACAATAAACGAAAAGGACAATAGAGACTAATGCATATAAAACATGAAGACTTAGCTTCGTTTAACAAACTAAAATAGACTGACCTCTTGTCCAGTACATCGCGGTCCTGTTAAAGGTTCCGCTGATGTTTGTATCAGCGAGGTGCAGAGAGTCCATCGTCCGTCGCGGATTATGTACGAACGGGGTACTTGACCCAGAGTCGAAACCGTCGCCGATGTCACCCCAAACCTGTCAAGGCATTAACAACGTCAACCAGTAAAATTGAGACTAGTTTTGTTTCTGCAAGCTGTTCTTGATTCAAAAAATTATAATTTGCGTAATCACTGGTGATAGGACCTCTTGTGAGTCCGCGCGGGTAGGTACCACCACCCTGCCTATTTCTGCCGTGAAGCAGTAATGCGTTTCAGTTTGAAGGGCGGGGCAGCCGTTGTAACTATACTGAGACCTTAGAACTGATATCTCAAGGTGGGCGGCGCATTTACGTCGTAGATGTCTATGGGTTCCAGTAACCACTTAACACCAGGTGGGCTTTGAGCTCGTCCACCCGTCTAAGCAACAAAAAAAATTGAATTACAAAAACCGATTTATTAATTATATTTATTTCAAGCTATTTTACGTCTTAAAAATTTCAGTGATCGATATAATGACAACCATGTACACATGTACACATTGTTTTATTAAACTTATATTTTGACAAAACAAATCCCACGTTTTTTTTTTCATAACGTCATAAGTTAGATTAGTTTTCGTTATCATCTACATATTAATACGTGAAGCAAAAACTTTGTATCCCTTTTTACGAAAATTATGCGGACGGAGGAGTATGATATTTTCCACACTTATAGAGAATATAGAGAAGAAGTGCACAATGCTAATATTTTTTTTAAATAATGCATAAAAGATACATTAAATCAATAAAGAAAACATTACACACACTACATACCATGTATTTGACGCACACACGCATGCATATTATTTATTGTCAAACTTTTGTTCTTTACGTCTGTGGTCAAATTGAGAATAGATTAAATATTGTTAGTCTTTATTAATATTTTTTTATAGTGTACCCTTGGCGAAATTTGTGATTATAGAAGTATAAAATACAATCATAATAGTTTACAAACTTACAATTCCAATTAATTATAGTCGAATTTCGACTACTACGGGACCTCTAGTAGGTACATATTATTTTATCCTATAGTTGTAAGGAGCATTACGCACATGGATTATGTTATAAGCAAGATTTAAACTTGTTGTTATTTATTGTTTATCTTTTTTTTAACTTGTAAGGTGTATTGTGTGCTTAATAAAAAAAAAAAATACGTGTGGACGACTTTGGAGACACAAAGCTTAAGTTTGAGTTGTATAGAAAAAGTGCGGCCACCAGTTGGCCTAGATTGGCCTTAAAATGGGGAAAGGCCCACTGGCATCATTACCGAAAAAATGTTCATTTAAAAACTTGGGCTATTCAGATAGAATCATCTTTTTTATTGCTCGTGTAGACAGGCGAGCATATGGCCCACCTGATGGTGAGTGTACACCATCGCACATGGACATCAGCAATAGCAACGGCAGAGCCAAACTGCTACCTACCCTTAAGTAGGCACTCTCCATAAGCCTCGTTTAAAGAAGGAAGCTATGTTATTCATGCTTACGTGCTGCGGTAACCAATTAACACCACGTCTAACACACCCTTCTAAGTAATAAAAAAACAGATACATATGATATGTACATATTATGTACATACCTCTGTTATTTTACTGGCCTAGATTATTGTTTTTACAGACGAGTTATTTATTCTCTTTAATGTCACGTGTATGCTATCCAAATTACATCTAATAATACCTACCGTCGCCAACCTTGAAACAAGAGTTGGAAGTCCCAATTACATTATACAGTGTGATTCTTTACAATTTGCACATATCGAAATGAGGGAATCTATGCTTAATTTTATCGAGGGAAAAATATTAAAAAAATGCTAAATATTTATTTTTTGTTTTTAAAGGATTTATTTAAAAAAATGTTCACTACCGTGAACTCTGGTGTAAACAAAACTTTGTAACTTTTGAACTAAATGATCTATCGCGGTCAAACAAATTCCATAATGATTGGAAGTATTTAGGCGTCCTCATAAAATGAAAAAGTGGGAGAAAACCTCCCCTCAATTGAAAATAAATATGTTTTTTTAGCATAAATCTGTAATTTTTTCATCAATTTTTATAACAATCCTAAAATTTCTCAAAAAGACGCCCCCTTTACCTACTTTTTTATTACTTAAAATTATTCTACATCGTATTAGCTACCCATTAGTAAAAATTTCATGTTTATAACTCAAACATAACATTTTCTATTATTTCGATTTGTGCACATTATAAAGAATCACACTGTATATAGAGTATTCTAGATTAAATTTAACATTGTTGATTTTTAGCAGTCCTTTATTAGCTTGACTTCCCAAGTCCACGTACCAAAAAATGACCAGAATGCAAAGTGATTATGATAATTTTAAGTCATGTTTAGTTTGAAAGCGTGTTTTTTTTAAAGTTTTTAAACTATTAGACACAGTTTTTATTCAGTATAATTTTGAAATTGAAATACGTTGCATTATAAACTGGAATTCATATTTGTTTTCGATGCAGAGATTAGATCCGTGTCTGCAGTGTCGTCCGGTAGCTATTTTAAAACGGACTTATAACTTCCTGTAATAACTTTGTTGAAAAGCAACTCAGTTTTTATTAGTATTTGCATATATAATTTGCGTATAAATAGCTCAAGATACTTTTAAATTAAGTAGACCTTAGGGGGCGTCCATAAATTACGTGAGGTGTTTAAGGGGGGAGGGGGTCGAGTCAAATCTCATCTAATCTTACGTTGGAGAGAGGGGGGGTCTCGGCAAATATCACGCAATTTTTTTGCTGACTGAAACAAAAAAGAAAATACTATTTTGGTCCATTTAATCCAGATTGTACATGCTTAAGATTTAATCTTGAGCGTAATCGTAATACGATTAAGATCATTCACTCATGCGGTCAGTACATGCGGTATTTACTTTGCATCTAGCACAAGAGCTGCAGAGTACAGGCGATCAGCCCACATTGCACCAGCTAAGCGCGTATGTTCCGCAAAGTGCGACCCTCACGGATTGTCACAAGACGAGCTAATGAGTTACTTTGTGCGAGTGCCAATGGCTTAGAGTGGCTAGATCAGAACGAAGTTGAACGAAGATCTCACCATAGCAGAAAATTTAAAAAAACACCTCACGTAATTTATGGACGCCCCCTTAAGAGGTAATTTTAAATCTCCATGACTTTGCAACCGTTAAGCTTAGAAAAAAAAAATCATCTCGCTATCCTTGTCGCACGCCTGCACTGACGTCATAAACCACTATGAACAGCTTTCGACGTGTTTTCTGCAATTCGGAAACTATCATTCTCCTAAATTGAAATTACTTATAAGCGAGTCTAAAAATATTCTTAATGTTCTTGCAATTTTGTTTATCGATAGAATAATAACTTTATGACAAAAAATAATCGAAAATCGAGCTAATCTCCTTAGAAATAGATGTCATAATTGGCTGCGTATTTGGTCTATATAAGCTCTTTCTTATTTACCTGCCATTTGCGATGGCGTCTTTCAACGCATTCTCCCGGGCTGTTATAACGTCGATCTGTGTTTTCAATGTCTCCGCTAGTATTTTTGAATTCCTAATCGTATTTTCAAGTTTCGTTTTCAATGCATCCGTAGATATTTCATTGTTTTCACGGATCTTTCCGTCGTTTTTGTAAGATTCGTAAAGGCTCGTCGATGTTTGAAGATCTGTATCGTGATCCATGACCGATTTTAATAAATCGTAAACCGGTGTTGATTGCTGGTCTTCACTGTAAGCAATGATTTTAAAACATCTAAGTGTATTAGTGTTTCTTAAGATTATTCTTAAGATATTTTATATGTATTTTATTTTATTATTGATCTTATTAAATGTTCGTTTACACAAATCAGGTCGTCACAGTAATAAACACATTAAAAAAGAGCACGTAACAAACAAAAAGATTAATCTTTCCTCTTCTTATATTAATAGATCACTATTTTGGCGATAATTACTCATAAATAAAAGATAGATATATTATGCTGTCACGGGTTTTTTTTTGTGGGACTGTTTGAGGTAAACATTTTTATTTTACGTTATAAATATGTACGTGCATGTACTGTTTTGTGCAACTATTTTTGCGTTTTGCAAGTGCCGCAAAAAGTTCGCAGATTGCAAATGTTTTCCTTATTTGACACTTATCATTATATTTTGGGTAATTCACACTATATGTTTATAAATATATAGCCAATATAGCCTATTTGTTATTCTGATGTGTGTAAGCTTAGTCATGTTTATTTATATCGAATCCACAGCCTAAAACATGATTAAAAGCATAAAGTATGTAAAAAATTAATAAGTAAATAAGTAAAATCTTGAAAGCTTTAGTTCTAAAAATGACGATACTTCCATACAACACTTCATCCCCCCTTTCAGCCCTTTACAACACTTTTTCGCCGTAAAAAGTAACGTATGTCCTTTCTCAGGCTCTAGACTAAGTGTGTACCAAATTTCATTTAAATGGTTCAGGAGTTTTGGCGTGAAAGCGCGACAGACAGACAGACAGTTACTTTCGCATTTATATCGCATTAGTACGGATATTTTTTTTATTTTTTATACTTATTGTACACAAAAAGAAAATACAATAAAAACAGATTTAAAGAATGTCTAAATACTATGTACAAAGGCGAGCTTAACTCATTCTATTCTATCTTATTCTATCTTAACACACTACTATTATTTGAATGAATATAAAGGAATTAAAGTAAAGTAATTAGTAGTACCTAGTCATTAGGAATTAGTAGAGTATCGGATCTGAAATGAAGTTGAACATGGAGTAAGACAGTGACGGAATTATGAGCAAGATTAGGTCTTAGAGGTGCCGGAAGACCTATGGCACGTGAATCAGAATGGCGGATGGAACGTTATGATGTAAAAAAGGGAGGCCTGTGCCCAGCAGTGGGTTTTAAAGCGCTGAAGATAAAAAGTAATTAGCGGTAGGTAGCGGCTTGTCTTCCCGGTCCTGCGGACAGAATGGAAAGCAGTCGACGTCGCCCAAAACACGTCATTTGGGATCCTCCCGATCCACTAACGGTGCTTTTAGGTACCTCAAGCACCGGTCATCGTTCTCGTCGAACCCGTCGCTGGCGACGAAGAGCTCGACGAGTAAATTAACCCACAGACACAGCCCACTGAGTTTCTCGCCGGATCTTCTCAGTGGGTCGCGTTTCCGATCCGGTGGTAGATTCTGCGAAGCACGGCTCTTGCTAGGGTTCGTGTTAGCAACGTCGTCAGGTATGAGCCCCGTGTGCTCATCTACTAGTTAAGGTTACGCTGAAATAGCCTCTCAAGGCTATCAGCTTCGGTAGGACAAAAAAAAGGGGCTTGTCTCTACCCCTGCCTTGGTGACGTCCATGAGCGACGATAACCAATCACCATCAGGTGGACCGTAAGCTTATCTGTCTACAAGGGCAATAAAACTATATTATATTCATTGATCTTGAATTTTATCTATCACATAACACAGAAAACAAAACGTTGCTCGAGCAAGTAATGCAAAATATGTATTTAACATTTGTTCGACCGCCATTTGTTATTTTTTATTTCATAAGATATTTTTAGATATTCAAATCAGAGCTCAATAACATATGAGATGTAGATCTTAGGTATCTTTAAATGTCGAGTCGACTATTATCAAAGCCGGCAATGTGACTTTTGGATAATTATTGGTAAATCAGAAAAACGAATTATTGACTTTGTATTCCATTGGCAGTCACAAAACTCTTCTGAACGACATNGGATAATTATTGGTAAATCAGAAAAACGAATTATTGACTTTGTATTCCATTGGCAGTCACAAAACTCTTCTGAACGACATCTTAGATAAATAACAGGTTAAGTATTAACCTTTATTTAATGCAGGTTTTGAACCGTATTCTTTGAAGGAGACGATTATATTCAAATCAATCTGTATTGAAATATCAATATTTTTTTTTTGTCCAAATGCACAGATTGCCACCTTTGATAATAGACGATTCATGTATTTGTTGACAATTTATTGATTTCTTAAATTTCAGTTGATGAAATAAAATAGTGTTTTCAAAATCGATTTTAAATGATGAAAATTTGCGAGAAATAGACATTAATTAATGACAGAAGTGCAAGGAAATCGAAGCATTTTTATCATACTCACAATTGATTTTGAACAGGATTCATCCAATCTGATACCTATGACAGAAAAAAATCAATACAGTGGCGGTTCCATGACGAATTATAATAAACCTTGAACATATATAACCAGTATTTCAATATGTAAATCAACGACGTTTGTATAATTTTAATGCTTTAAATAATTTAAATGTGGAAATATTATACATTTTTTTCTCTCTCTACAGAATCGATTTTATATTTATTTAATTTGATGATATTGATATCACTTGAGGTTGACAGATATCAATTATCCCGTCAAAATGTTCGGATAAGGAAATCGATTCTAATTAAACAAAATTGTATTTATCAAAATTTGTCGAATTATTGTAATCTTTATGAATGAATACATTATGTACTTTCATACTAATACATACTTTACTTATAATATCGACGGTTGAAAGGTTATATATATGGCTTAAGCGTAATTTTGCATTATTACAGGAGAGCCATTAAAAGTTTAAAATTTGGAAAAAAATATGAAGACAAAAAATTTCTTCAACTATTTGAATGGGGTAAACTTAATTGAAGTTCAATTAAACATCAAATTGTTGATAGTTATACCAAATAAAATCGATGCCTCCAATGAACACTACGCTAACTCCAAAAATTCGTAGGTTTACAGGAGGAGCGTTTAAACGAAAAAAGTTGATAAAATATTTATTATTGCAGATATATTTATGTTTTTTTTTTTTGTGTAACTCTGTAAACTGTTTACTCTTGCTTCGAACCCCATCAATATAATTCGTAATACTTTTAAAATAGTGAAGCGATTTGCGTGAAAAACGAAAATTCAAAATTTTGAGTTAGAGTAGTGATCATTGGAGGCATCGAAATGGGCTCTTAATTGCAAAGATAAATATCGCGTATTAAGCAAAATGTCGCTTAAACCAAATAACCTTAAACCTCTCAATATTATAAATATGAAAGTGTGTTTATTTATTTGTCCTTCCACGTCGAATCAAAGCAACGGATTGACATGATTTTTTTTAAAGTGATAACCTTAGGTCAGGTATGTGACATAGAGTACCTTTTATCCCGAGAATATATCNCTTAATTGCAAAGATAAATATCGCGTATTAAGCAAAATGTCGCTTAAACCAAATAACCTTAAACCTCTCAATATTATAAATATGAAAGTGTGTTTATTTATTTGTCCTTCCACGTCGAATCAAAGCAACGGATTGACATGATTTTTTTTAAAGTGATAACCTTAGGTCAGGTATGTGACATAGAGTACCTTTTATCCCGAGAATATATCGCATTCTCACCGGAAATTTCACTGACACCTAGACAGTGCGGGTGAGGCCGCGGTTAACATCTAGTATAATATTTTTAGTAATCGATTTTTAAATAACCGATTCTGTTTTTTTATTGCTCATATAGGTTGTCAACCTCAAGATGCACGTGCTATAAAGTGGTTACTCGAGCCCATAGTCATCAACGATGTAAATGCCGCCACCACCTTGAAAGATTAGTTTGATGTCTCACATAAGTTCTATGACGGCTGTAACCGTTCAAACCGGAACAAATGACAGCTTGACGGCAGAAATAGGCTAACGATACCTACCCGTGTGGGCTTACAATACGCCCCAACATCGATAATTTTTTTTTCATATAAATGATAAACTGCAAGAGATTATTCAAGATATAAAAATAGACAAGATTTTTTATTAACATAATTGTTACTTCTGTAATTATAGAGGGCAAACAACTGAAGGATCAAGGTTGTCTAGGAACTCTAGGCGAATCAGACTTGATTTCCTTCACAGTCAACAAACGTTTTGTTTTGCAATTGTGTCGTTCGCATATTAGAGAGAGAGACAGAGATAGAGCGTACTTTATTAACCGATTTCTAAAAAAGAGGAGATTCTCAATTCGTTTTTTTAATGTTTGTTACCTCATAATTTTTGACTGGGTAAATCGATTTTAAGGATTCTTTTTTTTTTTAGAAAGCTGACGCTTCCCTTGTGGTCCCATTTCAAGTTCCCATTTTATGTCCCATTTTGAGTTCAGTTCTGATAATGGTATCCATAAGAAAACCATATAAGTTTTACATTTGCAATAAGTACGTGCGCGACGAATAGATGAATAACTCGATAACTCAATATCACGCCAACCGATTTCGATGATTATTGTTTTTAGTGTGTGTATTAATTTGTTTTGGAATATCTTTATTTTTTCGATTTGAAATCGGTTTTTGTTAAAGCATGTCTATTTACGATTATTACGCACAAAAACATAATTAACGTTGAAAATAAGTTAATGGGTTGGTATAATTTGTACAATACGCTTTATCGCTAAAAGTTAAATGTTCGTCGATCTTTCAGATGAATTACTAGGCATTATTGTTAGCGTGGATGGATAGCGCACGATTAACCTGGTTTTAGATGGTTTCTCGTGGACATCGCAACCTGTACCATATACCTCACCTTAATGTATGAGAAGAAGTAGCAATTCTTACTGGCGGTAGGAGCTCTTGTGAGTCCGCACGGGTAGGTACCACCACCCCTCCTATTTCTGCCGTGAAGCAAGTAATGCGTTTTGATTTGAAGGGTGGGGCAGCCATTGTAACTATACGGAGACTTGAGAACTTATATCTCAAGGTGGGTGGCGCATTTACCTTATTATATACCTTAGATGTCTATGGGCTCCAGTAACCACTTAACGCCAGGTGGGCTGTGAGCTCGTCCACCCATCCAAGCAATAAAAAAAAAGAACACTGTGTAGTAGCTTTTGTCTTAGCGTAATGTATCATAAACGAAGGTTGAAATACGAAATTCGGGGCAGTGTCAACCCTACATGCTCCGTGGCCTACTCATCACTAGAATTTACAAAACACTCATAGCAGATATTTGATTATGAATTTACTATTCTAAAATTCATTAACAGTTCTTGATGACTAATGTAACTAATGTAACGTATGTTGTCTTAAGTAAATGCTTAGCATTATTATGAAGACCGGTTTTGAGAAAATCACATGCGGTAACAATTAACACTTTTTCATGGTGCCACTTTTCCGACGAATCGTGTCGTAAAGTGAATATTTTTCAAACTTTTTCGCGTCAAAATAGTCCGCGGAAAAGTGATATCTTTTGATCTAATTGACCTATTTTTATGTCTTATTTCCATATGGTCCCAAAGTCATTGCATCGGCAGGTAGTCACTTCGCGATCCGCCGGCAATAGATAGTGCGCTTTTTTTTTCTCCTACCTATGCTGATAGCCTTGAGAGGCTATTTCAGCTTCGCCCTAACATATAGGTGAGCTTACAGGGGTCCGGAAAGCATATCTCTGGCAAGAGCAGTGCTTCGCAAAATCTACCACCGGATCGGAAACGCGACCCACTGAGAAGATCCGGCGAGAAACTCAGTGGGCTGATAGCGCGCAGTACTTTGTTTATTTCGCCTTTTTATTTACACGTCTCACGTGCCCTACCGCTATATAGTAAGAAGAAAAAACGGGTTTTATCGTCACCCGCGCTTCAATACTAGGAAGTGACAAACGAGTTTTCGCGTCACCCGCCTAGTATGTGTTAACCTTCGTGAATTATTTTAACTTACCCAATCGGAAGAGCTAGTGTGGATGGCAAATAAAAAAATGTACTTTACAATCGAATTCATTTTAGCACGCGAACCTCCACAGTTCTCGAGACTACGAATGAAACAATTGCAGATCGTCTGATGTTTACAAATTCTATGCTCGATTCACCATTGTTCGCGAATGTATTTAATTTTTTATTGTTTTTCCTTCTTGTTCTTTTACGGTTTTTTTTTCTAATCTCACGCGGCAGGTGGAGGCTTTTTTTTTTATTGCCCTTGGAGGCAGACGAGCATACGGCCCACCTGATGGTGAGTGGTTACCGGTGCCCATGGACTTCAGCAATGCCAGGGGCAGAGCCAAGCCGCTGCCTACCGCTTAATACTCTCCACAAGCCTCGTTTGAAGAAGGACATGTCATAGCGCTCGTGAAACACCGTGGAGGGGAGCTCATTCCAAAGCCGGATGGTACGTGGCAAAAAAGATCTCTGGAAACGCACTGTGGATGACCGCAGTGGCTCCAGGTAGAACGGATGAACTCTACTCCGGTGGCGGGCGGTGCGATGGTAAAAACGAGATGCCGGTATCATCTCGAACAATTCCTCAGAGCACTCCCCATGGAACATACGGTACAAAATACAGAGGGAACCGAAGTCCCTCCGCAGACCGCAGGCTTAACGTTGAGACAGTTTTAATGGTCATTTATAGAATCACTTAATTTTCACGTGGACACAAATACAGGTTGCTTTTATTTATATATTACGATTATCTATATATTAATAGGTGAAGCAAAAACTTTGTATCCCTTTTTACGAAAATTGCGCGGACGGAGGAGTATGAAATTTTCCTCACTTATAGAGAATATAGAGAAGAAGTGCACAATGCTAATATATTTTTTAAATAATACATAAAAGATACTTTAAATCAATAAAGAAAACATTACACACACTACATACCATGTATTTGTCGCACACACGCATGCATACTATTTATTGTCAAACTTTTGTTCTTGACGTCTGTGATCAAATTGAGAATAGATTAAATATTGTTTGTCTTTGTTAATATTTTTTATAGTGTAGTCTTGGCGAAATTTGTGATTATAGAAGTATAAAATACAGTCATAATGGTGTACAAACTTACAATTCCAATTAATTATAGTCGGATTTCGACTACTGCGGGACCTCTAGTACTTATAATTATACGCATCTTGAGGAATCTTATACCTTTAAACGAGCAATTCTTGTATATTAATATATATATATAATCTGAATCTCGGAAACGGCTCCAACGATTTTCATAAAATTTAGTATACAGGTGATTTCGGGGGCGATAAATTGATCTAGCTACGATTTCTTTTCAGAAAATGTTGTTTTATTCGTGTTTTTAATAATCAACTCTTCCCGACATCTATTGGCGAATAATAATACTATTTTTCTTAATTGAGGGCAAATAACCTCTTTAAAGACACAACAAGATGGCGTTATCAAAAAAAAACGAGCAAAGCACGGTCATCATCTAGTATATTTTGATTTGTGATAGCATATTAATTTTTATCCGATTTATTTAAGGATCAATTTCAGTATAATTGTAATTTTAGAATACAATAAATATACTATGACGGTAACACATTTTTTTTTTGGTAAGGAGGAAATCGCCGGGCTTCCGCCCTCCACTGGGGACGGCGGGCGGAGCATGTCGGAGTCGAACCGACTAAAACCTTCTGTCGCTCAACAACCAACGTCCAAACCTCACATGAGACAGAACTCATGAAAAGGTAAAGGGGGGAAAGTGAAGTGTTTAGTGCGGATCTCTCCCATCACCCTCCCCCTCGGGACGCCGGACTGGCGGTCGTCGGTGCCACGACCACCAGCCCTCTCGGTCGGCAGGCTATCCGGAGCCCGCGTAGATGACGCCGGTTAGAGTGACTTATCCTACGGAATACCCCACTGGGTCAGAACCAGCGTGGGTCGAGGATAGCCGGCCTTCCATCACTCGGATGCTCTTGCGTAAAACGCGAGCAGGGCAGCTTGCACGTCGTCTTCTTAGGTCCCCCTCGCCGGTCCCTAGACCGACATGTGAGGGGGACCCGAAACACTTAAGAGGGCCAGGGCTTGGGCGAGATCCGCCTCCCTGGCCCCCGCTCGACGGCGGCGGGCTTGCGCGTCTCTAACGCGCCCCGCTGCCTCCTTCTGCGAGATGGTGCACTCGCAGAAGTCGAGCATCGCCTTCCACGACTCGTCGTCGCCGAGCATCGATGCCACAACACTCGGCAGCGACAAGTCGTTTCCTATTTTTGCGACGAGGACACGGCGCTACCCTTGACGGTAACACATATTGTCTTTTAATACGTTTATCCCAGGATTAGATTCGATAAAGTATATAAGATAACGTATATTTAAATATATATATAATCTTTTTACATTATTAATGCGTTATAACGATAAGATAAATGAAAAGTGCAACTGAAACGATATAATATGATGGATTGTTTATAATCCATCATAGTTTTGTTTGGCGAAACGATCGCATTCCATTAACTCATGAATGTTAATGGAATGCGATCAATAGACTAGATAGTGAATATAGTGACTAGATATATATAATAGATAGTGACTAGATCCTATGTATGTGTTTTAAATTATGAATTGGTATTGTAGAATACAATTTCTCCATTCAAGAGGATCCGATAATTCATTCGAAGCCACCGGCACCTAAGCTCCTGTTGCTACTTCCCTAAGCTTCCCTTCCATATTATCAGAGCTATTTCCACCTAAAGTTCTATATCTGAAGCAAATCGCACAATATCAAGTTGGCTGTAAACAATACAATTAATACCCTAGTTATGTGCGTGCGGTCAACAGCAGATAACTAGGGTATGCTGTGGTTATCGACAATGAAATATCTGTCGGATGAATAGCATAATTTCGATAATTACAACAGCGCAGTAAAAAACAAGGTGTGACATCGATATCACAAAGAGAAGGTTATCAAATAAAGATATAAGAATAATGACTGTTTATTTTGTGATTCGTTTGTTTGCTTTTTGACTGTGATTTTTTTTTTAATGTAAAAATAGAGTTATATTTCTTAACTAGCGACCCGCCCTCGCTTCGCTTCGGAAACATTAAATATTATTGAATAGTTAAGCCCCGCGATGTTACCCGCGGTTATTGTCGTATCGCGGATGACGCCGCGGGGCGAAGCTAGTCTAAAAAAAGTAGCCTAAGTTACTCCTTATATCATCAGCTACCTGTCAGTGAAAGTTCTGTCAAAATCGGTCCAGCCGTTCCAGAAATTAGCCGGAACAAACAGACAGACAGACAGACAGACATACAAAAATTGTAAAAAATGTTATTTTGGTGTATGTACCGTATATATGTATATATTCATATGCATGTAGTAAAAAGCGGCTATTTCAATATTACAAACAGACGCTCCAATTTTATTTATATGTATAGATTTAGTGACTAGATCCTATGTATGTGTTTTAAATTATGAATTGGTATTGTAGAATACAGTTTCTCTAGTCAAGAGGATCCGATAATTCATTCGAAGCCACCGGCACCTGAGCTCCTGTTGCTACTTCCCTAAGCTTCCCTTCCATATTATCAGAGTTATTTCCACTTAAAGTTCTATATCTGAAGCAAATCGTCCAATATCAAATTGGCTGTAAACAATACAATAGTGCCTATAGTTATAGACTCCNGAATTGGTATTGTAGAATACAGTTTCTCTAGTCAAGAGGATCCGATAATTCATTCGAAGCCACCGGCACCTGAGCTCCTGTTGCTACTTCCCTAAGCTTCCCTTCCATATTATCAGAGTTATTTCCACTTAAAGTTCTATATCTGAAGCAAATCGTCCAATATCAAATTGGCTGTAAACAATACAATAGTGCCTATAGTTATAGACTCCGAGCATAACAACAACAGTATTGATGTCACTAAGTGGCACAATTATTTTCTCTCAATTTGTTGTGTACAATTTTGATTTTCAAATTAAATTTCCAAAGTTTTTTTTTTTTTTTATTGCTTAGTTGTGTGGACGAGCTCACAGCCCACCTGTTGCCAAGTGGTTACTGGAGCCCATAGACATCTACAACGTAAATGCGCCACACACCTTGAGATATAGTTCTAAGGTCTCAGTATAGTCACAACGGCTGCCCCACCCTTCAAACCGAAACGCATTAGTGCTTCACGGCAGAAATAGGCGGGGCGGTGGTACCTACCCGTGCGGACTCACAAGAGGTCCTACCACCAGTAAAAATCATTTCAACTTAGATGCCATATCATTTATTTCAACTTAGATGCCAATATAACACACTTGTTAAATGTCAAAATATAAATAACAATATTAACTCTACCACCGGTTCCAAAAAAAGCCACAGTCCTGAGAAGAACCGGCGAAACAAACTCAGCGGGCTTTTTTTTTTTTATTTTTTTTTTTTTTTAAATAAGTAAAAAATTCTTATGCGAGATTTCGCGACGAGGGTCTCAAAATCGCGTACCTTATATTTTTACTATGTTCTAAACATAACTTTCTCGGTTTTATAAAAGAACTAAATGAAACTAACCAACATGACCGTTTCAATTATGGTCCGATAGCTTTGCACTGAAATATTTTAAAGGGCATTGCTCTTTATCCGTTCAATGTTCGCTCGCTGAACCAACATAATGAATTGGGTTCAATATACCCTTAATACCCTTAAGAGCATCATAACGACACTTCTCAGACAAGTCGGATCTGTGGTTGTTCTGAATCTTGGTACTCGAGCAAATTCAAACCCACAAAATTATAATTTGCGTAATTACAGGTGGTAGGACCTCTTGTGAGTTCACACGGGTAGGTACCACCGTCCTGCCTATTTCTGCCCTGAAGCAGTAATGCTTTTCGGTTTGAAAGGTGGGGCAGCCGTTGTAACTATACTGAGACCTTAGAACTTATATCTCAAGGTTTTATTACTCCAAATTATTAATGTGTATTAATAATAATATGTATTATTATTGATATGTATTAATAATAATATGTATTATTATTGATATGTATTAATAATAATATATATTAGTGCTTGGAATAAAAGGCATGAAGTAAGTTGTAGAGAATTGTTGTTTAAATTAGTAGTAATATGTCAAGCGTTTATTGATTCTTAGACGAGTTACGTCAATATCTTTTATGTATATTATGTAGATTGGCTTGTTGACGCCAGGAGAGGCCAGATGACCCTGAGTGATTTGTCTACGATTATCTATATATTAATACGTGAAGCAAAAACTTTGTATCCCTTTTTACGAAAATTGCGCGGACGGAGGAGTATGATATTTTCCACACTTATAGAGAATATAGAGAAGAAGTGCACAATACTAATATTTTTTTTAAATAATGCATAAAAGATACATTAAATCGATAAAGAAAACATTACACACACTACATACCATGTATTTGACGCACACCCGCATGCATACTATTTATTGTCAAACTTTTGTTCTTGACGTTTGTGGTCAAATTGAGAATAGATTAAGGATTGTTTGTCTTTGTTAATATTTTTTATAGTGGAGTTTTGGAGAGATTTGTGATTATAGAAGTATATAATACAATCATAATAGTGTACAAACTTACAATTCCAATTAATTATAGTCGAATTTCGACTACTGCGGGACCTCTAGTTATAATTATTTCGCGCGAACGTCAATAAATCCTTTATCTACATATCGCCATTATCAAAGTATGCCTACATGTCTGTTGTAGATAATATTGTGATTAATTATCGTAATTCGCGTGCTGACGGATATTTTGTACTGTCTTAATAAGATGATGCTAAGTGTAAAATAAATTTTTTTCAATCGATAAGCACATCGCGGTTAAATTCTTTCCTGAATTGATTTTTGTCCACCTTAGAAAGAGGTCGCTCTTTGCGATAGGCTTTTGTATTTAATGTTTTGCGCTTGTGTTTATTTTTGTGTACAATAAAGGATACTCTCTCTCTCACTCTCTTTCCTTTAAGTAAAAATAGTTCAGATTCCTATTTAACCTCATATCGTACAGAATGTTCTATTATGTACAATGACGTCAACGTTCAAGAACACCGTAAAAAATATGTGGGGAAAGAGTATCTCCTCTGAATTTTTAATCGTTGAGATGTCAGAATCTTCCTAGCCGATTTTAGTAAAATGATTTCTTTAATACGCTTCTTATCTTAAATTCTTTCTGGCTACGCGTTCTCTACATCTCTACTTTGGTTTTAGTGCACAGTATTACAATCACTTTCCTGAGTTAAATCTATGGACATGGCAGGATGGCTGTGTCAAGATAGTTTTAGAAAATGTGGTGACGTCACCACCAGGGACGATTGCAGAAACTCCATGAAAGTAGCCATGATCCCATAGTTGATTAATATATAATCATACAACCCCTCAGCACAATTGGGTCGTTTTCAAATTTGCGGCCAAAAAAGTAACGATTTCATGAATTTAATTTAATTACATTCTCTAATTCTCTATTTTTTTAGATTTAGGCATGTTCAGATTAAAGAATGCTTCGTCACAATCAAGTCAATCACTCATTTATTGATAATATTATATAATATTGATTTATATGTTCCATTTTACGCATTTGATGACGCCAACACGGATAACAATTTAAATAGGATATTTTTTTTAAAGCTTACAAATCGTACTTCTTTTGTTTTTAATAATGTTCTAATATCCAGTTAGTTTCCCTTTATTATTGAATTATTAAATAAAATTGCCGAATTTCAACACATGTTACTGGAAAAATAGCAAACGAGTTAGAATTTGAATTTCGACCCAGTGATACGCATGAGATGAGATTTGGAGTAGTTTTTAATATATAACTCTTAATTTAGCAGTGTTTACGTATATATAGTTATAGGAGCACGTGCCTGTTGTCATGACAACAAATTTACTGTACTTATAATTACGGTAACATTAAGGTTATGAGAATTAAATAACTCGCTTTTGGCCCCAAATTTGAAAACGACCCAATTAGTGAAGATTCTCTGCTGTCTTTATTATTATTATTATTATCTTAATCACATAAGTAACTGGGAGATCGATGGTACGGGCATAAGCAAAGTCAAGCCAATCGTAACCAGGCCACGGAAGCCAATCGGTTCACATCAGGCCCTGCGAGAGCCCGGTAGAACCTATCGTTTAACTTTTTGGTCAGCCATACGTCTATACGGTCCAAAATACTCACTACCTTCATCTTCTTCTAATTCCCATTAACAAAGGATAATGGAGTGAGTCCTTTATCGATTCAATGTCATCCCATTTTAATACGCTTTTATTAGCTTCAGTATTCAGTACGTATGTATGTTAGTATGTATGCTACGGAATCTTTGAACATGATTTTGACCCCCTTCAAAACGTCGGATTAACTTAAAATTTAGCATACTTATTAAGGACAGATGACAATTAGATATTNCACACATGAAAAAAAAAAAAAAAAAAAAAAAAATTTAAAAAAAACCGAAAAAATACGCTTTTATAGAAAATCCAACTAAAAAATAGAAAATATTATAAATTTTAATAAATTTGAATTAAAAAAATAGTGTAAGAAAAAATTAATTTATTGTAAAAAAAGCGTGAGGTGCTTTTCAGGATATAAAAATAACCCTTCCACTCATATCTGTTCATAAAGTATTTATAACTACTGTTACAATTTTTGTTGTTATTTGTCATCACGTTTACCTTAAGGAAATATTCCAACTGCAGCTGCGATTAATTACTACATAACTTTTGGATGTTAATTTGTATTAATTAATTGTCAACAGCGGAGGAGTTCGTAAACCAGCTCCTGACTAAGGAAGCCAGCGAGCAACCCTCCGATGATGTTAAGCCTGAAGAACTGGTGATGGAGCTACCGGAATGGTTCGACGAAAAACAATTTAACCAGTAAGTCGAACACAAGGGCGGATCCAGTTTTGGCGCCAGGAGGGGGTCACATAGTCAAATTTAGATGCGTTGGTTCCCAAACGTTTACCATTATACAAAGTTATTATATTATATTAAATTAATTAAATATTGAAGGTATGTAGTTACATAAAATCTGTATGGTGACAAAATATATAAATAAAATCATTATATTCAATTAGTGGTCCACCTAAGTCCTGGACCCAGCTCAGGGGGTGGTCATGACCCCCATGACCCTCCCCCTGGATCCGCCATTGGTTGAACATCAGATTATACGGCGTAATTTTCGCATAATAACTGTGTGGATATTGGCGCAGCTGTCCCTTTAATTACCAAGCAAAAGAAATGTCTTGCAAATTTCCTTGGTTGATATCAAAGAAGCATCTTTTGTCTCATTTTGGTATCGGAATAATCATTATGTTTACGAAGGCATTACAAACGTCAAGTTTTATAAAATCCTGTCAAAAGATAAAAAAAAATGAATAGATTACATAGCGTCCGAAGTGAATTAATTAATTAATTAGGTAATTTGTTTTATTTTTGTCTACTGAATATTATTCAGATATTTTTTTTTTTGCTTAGGTGGGTAGACAAGCTCACAGCTCACCTGGTGTTAAGTAGTTACTGGAGCCCATAGACATCTACATAATGCGCCACCCACCTTGAGATATAAGTTCTAAGGTCTCAGCATAGTTACAACGGCTACCCCACCCTTCAAACCAAAACGCATTACTGCTTCACGGCAGAAATAAGGGGGGTGGTGGTACCTACCCGAGCGGACTCACAAGAGGTCCTACCACCAGTAAATTGTGTATTATGCACACCGCGACATATGGATCTGCCGTATCTTTTACTGAATCTTCTAATGTAAAATCGGCTATCTGGAAGAGATGGTTTTAGCAATAAGACCGCGTATTGTACAATTTGTATTTGTCTAAGCACTAATTTTCAATTTTAATTGTTTTGGTGCATAATAAAGTCCCTCTCTCCCTCGCTTTCTCTCTCTCTCTCTCTCTCTCTCACTCTCACTCTCTGTCAGTTTCATCTCTGTATGTATATAGTGACTCTTAATTTTGTTTCTAAGTACGTGTAATTTCGTTACTTCATTGTTTAGCTCTTTGTATTACCTACTGGTACCTGCCCTCCGAATAAATTTATTCGTAGTACATGCCGGATTATTATCATTTAAACAACGCCATGTCGACAAGACTAATCGATGGTTAAAGGCAATTTGGTTTAAACGACATTTTTGCAACTATACAGAAGCCTGGTATTACTGACGTCCATGAGCGACCGTAACCGCTTATCATCAGGTGGGCCGCATGCTCGACTGCCTGATAAAGCAAGAAATAAAAAAATGTACATACCATTAGTAACATATTAAAAATATCTAACATTACGAAACTGTTTAATACACATAATGCGTAATGAAGCTAGACTATTTGCATAATAACATGCATGCTTTATTATTTATGCATATATTTTCATTCACTAGGGACCATTCACGGAATGATGCAATGCAATAACACAATGGAATTAATGTGTTATAACTCTCACGAATTTGCATACATAGTATTTTAATACGTAGATTTAGTCACTACACCACGTGTGGTGATCGTCTATGGGGAATCGCGTTCTCTGAGAATTATACCCGCATACTGCGATAGACATTACTTACTGGTAGGGCGTGCTGCGATCCCGCTTATTTCTGCCGCAAAGCTATTGTTTTCCAGTTTCAAAGACTGTGAGGATCATTATCCAATAAAAATTGAGAATAAAATCCATCTTTTTAATACGCTTTTATTAGCTTCAGACGTATGTATGTTAGTGTAACGCAGCGATCGGGGAACCGGGGTAAATTACCCCAAATGGGGTAAAATGAAAATTTGTGGGTTAAAAATGAAACTTTTGTGAGTAAAAAGTATATATTGAAGTGAAATTTCGTTAAAATCGTTAAATTTTTAGTTATTGTTTTCTTTACAAAATTATCACGGGGGCTATAATAATTAAAAAAGTTTCCCGACCGCTGCCGCGCTGGTGTAACCGAATCTTTGAACATGATTTTGACCCCCTTCAAAACGTCGGATTAACTCGAAATTTGATATACTTATTAAGGACCGATGGCAATTCAATATTTTTAAAAAATATTAAAAAAATTGAAATTGAACTAAAAAATGACGCTTTCTTTAAATAAAATAATTTTTGCTTACACTATTTTTAATTCAAATTTATTAAAATTTATTTTCTATCTTTTAGTTGGATTTTCATGTTCAGCACTTTGGATCCATACCAGCCTTTAGGTTAAGATAGTTTTGATGTTAATTTTGAGTTGTTGTTTTATTATTATTATTTGATTTTTTGTTTTTATTATTATTATTATTGTTGCTTTTGTTTTAGTCCGAGATTGTAGTTATAATTTTTATTTGATTCTAGTATAAATGAAATGTTAATGAGTGTAATATGGATGAAAAATCTGAAGTAAATGAAATAAATAAATTAATATTCTTGTGTCCAGGGCGCGGAAGTTCTACGACGAGAACAGCTATTCGTTCTCGTCGTCCATGCTACAGGGTCTAGTGGCTGTTCTCTCGGTGCCTTCTATACTCCGTGTCCTGGTCGGCACGCGACGCTCCAGCTCCGTGTTCACAGCCTACAAACGGTATCTGTCCACGCTTCTGCACACGATCTCCTGGTTCGAACACGAACTGAAGCCCGGAAGCATGTAAGACGAGAGAAGCATTCATTACTTTTATAATGTTTTTTTTTATTGCTTAGATGGGTGGACGAGCTCACAGCCCACTTGGTGTTAAGTGGTTACTCGAGCTCATAGACATCTACAACGTAAATGCGCCGTCCACCTTGAGATATAAGTTCTAAGGTCTCAAGTTACAACGGCTGCCCCACCCTTCAAACCGAAACGCATTACTGCTTCACGGCAGAAATAGGCAGGGTGGTGGTACCTACCCGCGCGAACTCTCAAGAGGTCCTACCATTTGTAAATATTACTTTTATAATGCATCCCAAGCCCGGATGAGAAAAGAGGAGGGCTTGAGTTAGAGTTCGACCTTTCAACCGTAAAACAGTCAACGCCGAATGCCTGGCGTCGGTTAATTAGCCGGGCCCAAATAAGGCTTCAGCGGCCTTGAAGAGCTAAATCTCTTCCAAAATCACTAACGTGGAAGGACGCGGGAACCCACCATGCGTATTTTACCAAGAAAGCCTCATGAGGCCGCGACCCTCAGGATTGAGGATTATCGACGCAAGGAGGCGGAATGCATCTAGTGATGTTCCACCATGTTTTATATTCATCGATAATAGTACGAACACTCGTAACTCGTTAACGGTAGAGGTAAGTTTTTACTGTGCCTTATTGACACCACTAACGCTATGGACCAACAACACTGCTGTTTTCTGAAATCTTTATAACCATCCTTTATTTATTAAAAATCATTAATGTGCTTTCTTCAATTTTCGTCAATTTTAGACATAATGAAAAAAAGAAAAAAATGGCGGTTTAATCTAAATTCTTAAATAAAAAGCAAATAGACATTACAAATCAGGTGATGTACGGAGTTATTTTGGAAAAACACATTTTTAAATAGTTTCGATTGTGATCTGTCTTTGGGAACGTCGAATTGAGTCGCTCTTCATTGAAGCTTAACAATGTGCTTCCCGTTTGTTTGAATCAACTGTTGGCAGGAAGTTCAGATTGCCTAGAACATCATTTCGTATTACCGTTCGATAACCGACGATTGTGTCTGTGTCCAAGAGAAATGTAAAGTACTATTCCAAATGTGGGCAACAATAAAAGCAAGATAAAGCCGTAAATATGATTTTAATTATCACCACAGCTTGCGAAAATCGAAGAGATTCCTAGAAAATATGTATTAAAAAAGTATCGGGAATAGATTATTTGTTTATGGTTTCAAAATATTTTTTTCTTTTGTTTTTGTTAGGTCGGTACAACTGTCTTTCATTTTTAGCGCGATGTTTAAGTTGTATTTGTTATAACATTAAATTTAGTACTGTTTTTTTATATCATATCTAGTGTGTATTACAAATTTTATAATGGGCAAAAAACATCAAACAAAGAGTTTGTCTTAAATTTTGCACGGCCAACGGTATTTCGTGTTCGGAGTTACTGAAAATGCTGCAGAAGGCTCATGTAAATACACGTTCTTATATGCGATACAAAGGGTTCAAAAGCTGTCGAGATGTGGTGGATGATTGGCCTCGCTCTGATAGGCCATTGACGTCTGCATCTAAAGTTAACATCGCAATAGTGAAAAAAATTGTGACAGGAAATCCTCATTTCTTTCAGAACTTTATTTGTCTCACGAGTCGACTCGTACCATTTTAAATAATGACTTGGGTATGAGACATCTTGTTGCGCTCGGCTAGTCCCAAGAGACCTGAATTTTGTCTTAATTACGGCCGAACATTCAATAAAACGCATTGTTATTGCTGACGAGACGTGGGTTTACGAATTTGATAAGCCAATTAATTAGTCGACAAGATTCGGAGTGGCGCCTTCCAACTGAACCAAAACCGGAAAAAACCACGTCAAAGTCGATCAAAAGTCAAAGTTGATTGTTTTTTTTATTTAATATCGCCTTGGTGTGCACTCGGAATCCTTCCCGGAAGGTCAAACGACAAATAAAGAATAAGTAAAATCATTTGAACGTTGTGCAGAAGAGATTACGAGAACAAATCGACTAAAGAGGCCAGATTTGTGCAAAAACTCAGCTAAATTAAGCCAACAGCCTTGAGCCTTCGAGCCTTTAACGGCGAAATAATAATTTCTTATGTTCAATGTAATATGCTGTAGTAAATATCACATGTAATAGAATAATAAAAAAAAACTTGTTTAAAACAAGCCATAACGGAATTATTAAGATTTTCGTTGTTAAGAACGAACATTCTTGCATTTTGCATCACGACCATGCGCCTTCGCATAAGGCCGTTATTATCAACGAATTTTTCGCCAAAAACTTGACAAATACGAGCAACCCACCTTATTCACGAGATATAGATCCAGCCGAAATCTTTATTTTTCGATTACCTCAAATAACTCAAATTGCCACTTCATCGCCGCCGTTTTCATTCGGTAGAAGACAATGGAAAATAAGGGCGAAAACTGAACTCAATTTTGTTTAAAAATATTTGGATTAGTAAATTACTCGTTGGCGTAAGTGTATCGTTTCTGAAGGAGGAGCACACTTCCAGCAGCGGTTTCATCATCCTCATGCCCTTCTCCCAGACACCTGGGGTCGGCTCAACATGTTTTTTCTTTCCATACTCGTCTATCATATACAATTTCTTCACTCACTGCTTTCTTACACATATCGTTTTTCACGCAATCCATCCATGTTTTCTTAGGTCTACCTTCCTCTAAAGCCTTCCACATTCATAGTTAAAACTCTCTTAACAACCTCGTTATCAATTCGTCTCATCACAAGTCCATACCATCCCCAATGCGCGCTTTTCAACTTCTCTCTCACATCATCAAAGAAATAAATGTTCTTAAATAGACCCCTTTGATGTTAAGAACTACAATACGCTTCGTACCTTCAGGTCCTGGAGGTCACTGTACGCAGTGAGGAGTCGCCACGTCAAAGCATCATTAGCCTCAAACGCTAAAGGAACCGGAGTGGTATCGCAGAGAGACATCGCTCTCACGCAATTCGGCTTCATCGGATTCTCGGTACTAAAACCCGACTTCTTTGGCATAAGGCAGCTGGGCGACGGCGACTGGCAAGCTTACAATCACTTCTGGAGGGTCATAGGATACATGATAGGACTGGATGACAGGTGAATCTATAAACATTTTTACATGACACACGTTTTTTGAGGCGTAAACGTTTTACATAAATGATTTGTGTCGCAATAATTAAGTTCTGAATAAACACTGTTTAAATGATAACCCTGAAGTGGAAGTTATTTGTTGAATGACGTAGGTATATTAATTAGGAATAACATACAAGGCCGTATATAATTTCATATACAGGAACACCGTACATAATACATAATTCACTCTAAGTACTGTGGTATTATAAAATCTGGACAAAGTACTACTTAACTTTAACATTGATTGAGCACTAGTAGCTTGTAAGAGAACAGTGAACACAATATTCTAATTATGGCGAACAAGACCGGTTTCTGTGGCCACACAAACTGTAAGGTATTCGAAATTATAGGAAATTGTAAAATGGAAATAATAAAGGCGAGAAAAACTCATAAATGCTACTGGTAATGAAATTATACAGGTGGTGGAGCGTTTTGTGAGCTCGTACCTTGCCTATTTCTGCCGTGAAGCAATGTAATGTGTTTCGGTTTGGAGAGTGGGGCCGGCATTGTACTGCAAAACCGAGGCTTAGAAATCATTTTTTTTATTGCTTTGATATGTGGACGAGCTCACAACCCACCTGGTGTTAAGTGGTTACTGGAGCCAATAGACATCTACAACGTAAATGCGCCACCCACCTTGAATAAGTTCTAAGGTCTCAGTATAGTTACAACGGCTGCCCCAACCTTTAACCCGAAACGCATTGTTGCTTCACGGCAGAAATAGGCAGGGTGGTACTTACCCGTACGGACTCACAAGAGGTCCTACCACCAGTAGGTAATCATGTCTCAAGTTGGGTAGTGGCATTTGCTTTTTTGGCGTTTATGGGCTACGATAACACCAAATGACCCGTTAGTATGTCCACCCATCTAAAAACAAAACGATAGGGTGATGACAGCCTGTGGGGTTTCACTCGACCGCCATTAGCACACCGGTCGGAGATTGTAGTACGCACGTCACAGTCATCTTTTACGACCGCTCTAAGCCGCCCCAAACATAGCCTTGGCTCCGTATCCTTAAAGCGAAACGCTCTTTTAGGTACAACATTTGCCGTGAAACAATAGAGGAGACTCGCGAAGTATGCCAATTGCTATTGAACCGAGTTTACACGCCGTGTCTGGAGAATGCGCCCGAGTATTTCGAGCATATGGCCCGCGTCATGCTCGACGGTATGTGGTGCATCAACCCTACAGTCGACCTCGAAGCCAACATGTACGGATGCCGATACTTGGCCGACGTCCCGGGGTACATCTACACGGAGCGCGACAGGATAGAGCTACAACAGAAATTGAGGAAGCATTTAAAAGGGAAATCCCTTGATACCGGTAAGTGTTAGTCGCGTAAGGTCATTTTCTTGTGTGCGACATGTCGAAGGTTGGTAAGTATGTCGGTACAGTACCGGGCGGCAATGGCCCATCGACCTTTGGAAAGAGGCAATTGCGTATTAAGCGAAATGTCACATAAAGCAAATAACTTTTTACCCCTCGATATATTATTATGTATTTTTTTCTTTTTGGACCCAACACCAAGTGCTATTTGCCACTTTCAAATATATGTATATTATATTAGATTGATTAAATTAGCTTTATACACACTATTATTTAATGTGTTCCTACCAAGATCTTAAATCGGGAACTGTAAGTGTAGATAATCGTAAAAGCTTAAAACAAATTCTCACATTTGCCCTTGGCATTTCAGCTGAGATTTTCGTACAGCAACACGCTCGTATTTTTAACATATAAAAGGTGATAAACTGGTATTTTTCAATAGCGAGCCATTAACGCTGTGTATATAATGAGGCCGACAGCGCAAAAGTGGCCTAACCCACAATTTTTCATATTCGTGCTTACGTATTACATTATTTAAAACATCATAAATTTTGATGCAAAACCGGCCTATCCCTAGTTTCACCCATAGATAACAAATGGCTTTGTAAACATTATGTTTGCTCGTATTGTTTTTGCCTGCGAAGCAGTGTATAAGTAAATCCACTAACACTGGTGGTAGGACCTCTTGTGAGTCCGTACTACCTACTGCCTATTTCTGCCATGAAGCAGTAATGCGTTTCGGTTTGAAGTGTGGGGCAGTCGTTGTAACTATACTTGAGACCTTAGAACTTATATCTCAAGGTAGGTGGCACATTTACGTCGTAGATGTCTATGGTCTCCAGTAACCACTTAACACCAGGTGGGCTGTGAGCTCATCCGCCCATTTAAGCAATAAAAAAGCCCTGTTATCTCCATACTACTAACTATGGTAAGCTTATGACACTTTTGCGCTGACGGCCTCATATGTGCTTATACTCTGAGACTTGGGTGTAACGGCGGATTTTTGTAAAATCCCAGGTGTAGACTCGTCGCTGCTGATGAGCCAACCAGCCGTCGATGGTCTCCCGGAACGGGCGCCGCGTCTCCTCTACTACAACGACTACAACACGATCGAGACCGCACCGGCCTACAAACAGCTCGGACTCAAATCGAAATATAAACTGGCGTGCTTCAACATATACATGTGCCTCTATACCACGTTCATTGGTCGTTGGTATTTCAACGCCAATTTCAAATTCAGCTTGTTCCTAATGAGATACTTCCCGTTTTTGGCGTTCTTCAGATTCGGCGTTAGGAATTCATACGTGAATATTTTCGTGGAGGACCTTACATCGGACACTAAGCCTAAGATNCTCAAATCGAAATATAAACTGGCGTGCTTCAACATATACATGTGCCTCTATACCACGTTCATTGGTCGTTGGTATTTCAACGCCAATTTCAAATTCAGCTTGTTCCTAATGAGATACTTCCCGTTTTTGGCGTTCTTCAGATTCGGCGTTAGGAATTCATACGTGAATATTTTCGTGGAGGACCTTACATCGGACACTAAGCCTAAGATCAACTCTGAATATTATAAGCCACAGGAGCCGACGCCGTGGTACAGAACAGTTTTGGAACTGCTATTTTAAAGATTCGTGATATATAATTAACTTTGAAGTCGTCGCGGCCTAAAAGATTAGTCGCCCGGTGCGTTCGTATCGAGCGATGCGGTCGTGCCGGTTTTCGAAGCCGGCAATCAAAGTACCAATAGGTATTTCGAATGAAATACGTACTTAACAAATGTTCACGTATGACTTCCACGATTCATCCGCAAATATAATTTACTGGCGGTACGTGTATTGGGAGCTCGCAGGGGTAGGTATCGCCATCTTGTCTATTTCTGCTGCGATGCAAGTGGTAAGTTTCGGCTTGTAGGATGGATCAGCTGTCATGCTATATAATAAAGACTCAAGACCTTATACCTCAAAACCGGTGGTGGTATTCATGTTGTAATGTCTATATAGGTGAGCTGTGGGCTCTGACCACGTCTTTATTTAGTATATGCCTTTCCTTTGCTTAGGACAAAAATTTAGATAAATAGATGTTAGTGAAATATGTTCGTGTTAAGTGTTTTTATACTGAGCAATTCCTATTTGAGATACAATTAGTTTTTTTAATAAGTATAGTAATAATTACTATTGGATAGTTATATTGGTATAATTTACTATGCTTTTAAAATAACTTCACGGACAAGTTTATGTTGATAAACTTAAACAAAAAACGTACGTAAGTACGGTAATGTTACGGACATAATTGAATATGCAATTTCGAAAAGGGCACATCTCTGAAAATGTAAAATGTTCAGGAAATGAAAAAAACTGATTATTTTCTAAAGCAGTGTAAAATTTAAAATATTAACTTTTGAGATATATTTTAGTCATCATCATCATCAGCCTGTATTTCACCACTGCTGGATGTAGGCCTCTCCCATAGTCCGCCACAATGAACGATCCTCCGCCTTCCGCATCCAATCTCTCCCAGCATATCGCCGCAAGTCATCGGTCCAACGGGCAGGGGGATGCCCAACGTTGCGTTTACAACGGTAGCAATTGAAAATTACTGGAATTATTATAAAATGGGTGTAGGTAAGCCTCAAAACTACATGTATATGAAAAAAACGTATTTGACAAAATATGCGACATGTGCCCTTTTCGAAATTACATATTCAATTAGTTTGAATCGTTAAGATTTTTATAGTATGTATAATAGTTAATATGTAATGACAATAATTGTTTAAGTGAAATAAAATTTATGACATAAAATGGTAAACTGCGTTTTTTTTTAATGCACGGTTGTCGCTTTTCTCTATAAACAAGTATTTATTTCGTGATAGTGATAAGGTTATTCGTCGATAACTCTATTAATTAACTCCCGCCGTTTTTGACTCGTGTTGCGGCATTTCACTTTCAACATTTACGTAGGTATATTTGAGTCGTCTATTATCAAAGCCGGCAATCTGACTTTTGGACAATGATTGGTAAATCAGAAAAACGAATTATTGACTTTGTATTCCATTGGCAGTCACAAAACTCTTCGGAACGACATCTTAGATAAATAACAGGTTAACTATTAACCTTTATTTAATGCAGGTTTTGAACCGTATTCTTTGAAGGAGACGTTATATTCAAATCAATCTGAATTGACATATCAATAAAAATTTTTTGTCCAAATGCACAGATTGCCACCTTTGATAATAGACGACTCATTTAAGACTCCACAAATCGGAATTGGTATGAAGAAAATCGGCAAAGGTTAGCTTTCAAAAAATTTAAAAGCACTTCTGTACCTACCCCAAGAATTGCTTTCTTGGAAACATTTGTTGTGTATGTTAAGTAATTAGACGTTTAAAATCATGAATATAAAATAACATCTAACGGCACACAGCAAATAGAACTACGTGCCGCGACGGCAAACGGCATGACGCTCTCGTGCTGTCAGACCAACCGGCAAATAAGTAGAAGAAAAAAAGGCGTATAATAACATCCAAATTTTTTTTCTTTTTCTTTATTTTTCTTTTTTTTTTTAATATTATTTTTGTACTTTATATTTATTTTTAATATTATTATGTCAATTATTTTATTGAAAGATATTGGTAAAGTAAAGACATTATAAAACATCTTAAATAGCACCCCACATTTTTTACGATTTAATGCTTTTTTTTTTAATCACAATTTCTTCTTTCTGGGAACTTGCAGAAAAAAAAAGTTTCTACTTTTTCACGAGCCCCATCTTTTACTTAAAGTTTTATGGATTAATGTGTTAAATGCTATACATAATAACGCGTGTCTTATTATCATTTGTTATTTAAAATAAAGTGGACACTGTACAAATTTACTAATTGCCTTTGATGCGTGGTGGACTCTCGTAGAAAAATATATGTTAAAATAATACAAATAAAATCAGTATAAATATATTTTAATTAACTCTAACGAATGATTATTCGAAGAAGTCTTTAGCTTTTAATCTATTCCTTTTGCACACATTAATCTGCAGCAAGTTGTCGGTGAGATTATTTTCTATCACAGTACTGCTGTTGTTCACGTTGCCAGAGTCGGAAGGACGGGTCGATGTTGCCGTGTTCTTATTCGTGGTCGGTGTTGCCACTAACGGTCGCCGTGTCGGTGTTCGTTTCGGTGTTGCCGCGTGCGATAAAATTCCCATGTCGTTTGGCGTCAGCTTGAGTCTCGGTGTTAGTAAATGTTTCGCGGCTAATTTCCTGGCCGCCGGCGACATGCTGGCCAGGCGCTCGGTGCTCGTTCGGAAACTAGACAACAAAGGAATTTTATTAATACGCTTTTATTAACTTCAGACGTATGTATGTTTGTAACGGAATCTTCGGATTAACTCGAAATTTGGTATACTTATTAAGGAACGAAGATAATTCAATATTAAAATAGTACATTGTGCACCAAGGGAGAAAAGTAGGACATTTCGTCCTACTTGTGACAATTTTACACGCGGGATGAGATGTCCTACTTTTTTCCCGCGGTGCACATACAATTTTTTTCTCCTACCAGGCCGAATAGAAAGTTCGTGGAGCACCGAGCCGGGGTCCAGGGGCGAAGCCCTGGTATGGGGGTAGGGGGGCGGAGCCCCCCCATACTCATAAAAAAACAATTTAACTGTTTTTTAATTTTTAAATAAACTACTACTAATTGAATAAGAACTGTCTGATGAACTCATCTTTGTTTAATACTTCATTATTTTTGATTGCCTTTTGTTTATTTCACTTTTACACTAAATACAATATTGAAAATTACCCGAGCACAACAATGGCGGAGAAGGAAAGTACACAGGTAGGAAAAGTTACTTTCTTCCCTGTACAGCGGGAGAAAAAGTAGTAACGCCATCTATCGTCGAATAGCAGAAGCTCGAGAACGCTCGTGAAGTGCAACGCCATCTATTATCAAATAGCGGAAACACACATCGAAACTTCTCGACCTGCCGGTAATATTCTCGATAATTCTAGGGATGTCGACTATAAAAGCGTTGCAGGGATGCAGTTAGTAATCGGATCTACTCGAAGCGGAAGAAGCAAATTACGAAGTGTTCTAAGTATTAAATAAGAGTTTTAATTTGTATTTCGGTGGAAGTTCTATTTATCTCGAACCTCAGCGCGTAACAATACTTCCACTTCTTTAAAAATACTAGTGGTCCCCNATATTCTCGATAATTCTAGGGATGTCGACTATAAAAGCGTTGCAGGGATGCAGTTAGTAATCGGATCTACTCGAAGCGGAAGAAGCAAATTACGAAGTGTTCTAAGTATTAAATAAGAGTTTTAATTTGTATTTCGGTGGAAGTTCTATTTATCTCGAACCTCAGCGCGTAACAATACTTCCACTTCTTTAAAAATACTAGTGGTCCCTCCGTAGTTGAAATTCGACTATATTTCACTGAAATTATAAGTTTGTGCACTACTAGCTGTACCCGTCCGCTTCGCTGGGCATTTAAAATTAACATTATTATTTCTCACTCACACAAAGATTCTCATCATTAACGCCCCCGCAACTGGTGTACGGAGTCCAACACTTATATAAATATTAGCCTATCCATTAAGTACATGTATTTTCTACATGGATACCAAGTTTCAAGTCAATCGGATGCATGGCTCAGTAGTTATAACGGAACATCCGTAAAAACCACTGTAGATTTATATATTGGTATAGATGTTGGTAGATACCTCGGCGAGGGCGGTGGTATCCTCGGGGTTGTGGGCCGCCTCCTCTTGGCGAGTTGCTCGGCGAGCTGCAGCGCGATACGTTCCCGGGCGCCGCCTTCCAGCATCTTGTACGCCACTCCCGCCCCCACGCTGAAATACGGAGAAACCCTCATTAACATTGTCTACTGCGATTTTTTTTTAAGTGAAACTTCTTTAGAAGCGTTGTGATTTCAAACTCGATGAAACGAAAAAATAGTCCATAGAGACACAAACACATAAATGTATAGGATTCAGCCGGCGAGAGAATGAGATAGAACGCATTAGACGTTCTCGGTCTCCTCTTTGTGCGACTCTTCGTAGCCTCCCCACTATCGTCTACTAAACATTGTCCATATGTATGCTCGTGTGTAGTGGGATAGTCAGTATATCTTATCTATAACTTTCCCTTCTACCGTGTGTGACTTGCACACACACACACTTTTTTTATGATTGAGTGTTTACTTGTGGCCTGGAGGCCTTTCCAGTTTCACAAGGACAGGTGGGCGAGCAAGGGCCAGCCAGAAGGGGCGGGATTTGCTAACAGCTACCCGAGCACCTGCAAGGGAGACCTAACAACTTCAGAGCAGCTGTTTGAATGAATCTACTAACGGATCGGAATCGCGACCCGCTGAGAAGATGCGACGAGAAACTCAGTGGGTTGTGTCTGACACCTGGATCATGACTCATCCAAACATCCAAAGAAATAAACAAATAAGATATACCGATATTCAAGAATTACTTATTCCGATAATTTTTGATAGTTACGTTTCGGTTGGAAGGGCGAGGCAGCCGTTGTAACTATACTGAGACCTTACAACTCATATTTCAAGGTGGGTGGCGGCATTTACGTTGTAGATGTCTATGGGCTCCAGTAACCATTTAATACCCATCTAAGCTATAAACAAAGTTTATTTAATTAGGTCAGTGTAACTTACGCAGGTAGCGGCGTGTCCCCGCCGTCGAGTCTGAAGGGCGTCCCCTCGATGTGTCCCCACGTCATGAGGGGGGACGCGCCGTCGCCGGGGCGGGGGGACGGTGTCTGCAGTATCGGATAGCGCTCTTCCTTCTCTGAACTCAAACTGCTACCGTCCACGCCTATCCTGCCGTTCACTGTCGCGTCCTGATATAAAAAAGAAACATAGAAATAAAATAAAAAATGTGTGGTGTCGTGGGACACCGAATAAGAACGAAGTTCCTTATTATAAAAATATTAATTTTAAGTTCTATTCGAGGTATAAAGAAAATAAAACTGAAAGGTTTCGCAACAACCCACGATCATTCGGTACCGTGCGAACTTATTGTGGTACACTTCATTCACGGTTGTTTGCATAAAAGTTGGTGTATTGCGCAAACGAACGCTCTGAGATCGTGGTCAATGAATGATAAAAAAAAATATTATTTTTTGTACGTTATTACGAAGTTAAATCGTACACTGTGTGCATTACTAATTTGTACGTTATTACAAAGTTAAGTCGTATACTGTGTGCATTACTAATAAAAATCTTACGTTACGGACGTTTTTTCCCGGTTAGGGTATTCCTCCGCATCGTCCCATAAGGAACTTCGTTTCAAAACATTAAAAAGATTACTTTTGTTTGTCGTTAAGGGCATCGACCTGAGGACTTGTCAGAGAATTTTAATCCGCGATAAGTCACTGTAATCTAATACCGAAGACGTATGCTAATTCTAAGAAACAAGTTCTTTGTAACGTGAAGGAATAATAAATACCATGTAATAAAAAACCTGAAATCCACCTAAATTATAATTTGGATAATCGAAAGTAGGTAGGGCATCTCGTGAGCGGGTACGAGCTCACGGCCCACCTGGTGTTAAGTGGTAACCGGAGCCCATAGACATCTACAACGTTAATGCCGCCACTCACCTTTAAATAAAGTTCTAAGGTCTCAGTATAGTTACAACGGCTGCCCCGCCCTTGAAACCGAAACGCATTACTGCTTCACGGCAGAAATAGGCAGGGTGGTGGTACCTACCCGTGCGGACTCACAAGTGGTCCTACCACCAATGATACAATTGTTAGAGTATGTTTTTTAATTATTTCTACTGCCCTCATAGGGGAAAAGAATAAATGAATAAATGTTTCAAAACAACACACACACAAACCTGATTCCTCGCGATGGCGCTTATTGTCTCTTTGCTCTTAGCGTAGTCGAAGGGTTGAGCTTTTAGCCTTGTGTTCTGGTGGACTAGTTCGGGCTTCGGCGGCGGGCGCTGGGACTCCGCCCCGTCAGGCACGTACATTATGTAATTACGAGCTTTGTAACGCCAAGTGTCCAACTACGGAAAAGAAAATTAACAAAAATTGATAATTAACAAAATATGTAGTAACAAATTTTACTGATATGTGCTCTCGTCCGGTTTTCCTGACATATTTGGTGTCGTCCCAGAGACACAACCCACTGAGTTTCTCGACGGATCTCCTCAGTGGATCGCGATTCCGATCATTGGCATTGCTGAAGTCCATGGGCAACGGTGACCACTCACCATCAGGTGGGCCGTATGCTCGTCTGCCTACATGGGCAATAAAAAAATAAGTTTCAGTTGTGGATACAGCGAAGCACTGCTCTTGCCAGAGATGTGATTTCTCAGGTTAAGCCCCGTGTGCCCCCCTGCCCGTCCGCGGGGGTAGAAAAAAAACATATACATACATATTTAAGAACAGTAATCATTTTATTAGAAACTTTTTTTAAATGCATGTACCTACTATACTGAAATACTTCGTTTTGCTAAAAAAAAATACATGGTAAAACAAATTTTTAACTTTAGTGTCCTTCCTATCTAAACCTACCCGCATAAACAGACAAAAAAAAACAACTAATTAATTATTAACATACAAAAATATACTATGCAATATACAAATTGTTAGTATGTGGTTGATATGAGTTTTCGGAGATGAACTCTGGTGGCATTAGTCTTACAAATATTTCAGGGGTTATTAGAAGTGTATAGTCCGTGCTTAAGAATAATAATCAAATGTCTTACTTCATGTGGCCTTTCCGTTTGATCAGCTTGTTGTTCTATGGAGGGTAAAGCTAGTGCTTCATCTGCGAGTGTTGCAGACGTGATCTCGGCTTGAAGCTGCGATGCTATTTTGTTTGCACGCTTCTTTTGCTCCAACGATATAACTCGATTGTAGCTTTCGTTGTCCTCGCTCGTGTGTTTGGCCAGAAAGGAATCTGTGAATTTTTTACATATATAAAAAAAAAAATGTTGTGTTCTAAAACATATTTATGTACCTATATCAAAATTATTATACATACACTAAATGTTCTATTTATATACTAAATATTCCAAAATATAAATATAAATAAGATAACTTTTTTTTTAAATTATGTTCGGAATTTTTTCTTAATATTATAACTTTGCATTAAAAGTTGACGGTAAAAGTATGAAATGCATTTTAATGTAATTACTTCCAAATGTTACAAACTAGAATTTGAGTAGTGTTTTAGTAATCATAGAGCCTACATACTTACTGCAGGTAGGACTTCTTGTGAGTCCACGCTGGTGGGTACCACCACCCCGCCTGTTTCTGCCGTGAAGCAGTAATGCGTTTCGGTTTGAAGGGTGGAGCAGCCGTTGTAACTATACTGAGATCTAAGAACTTATATCTCAAGGTGGGTAGCGCATTTATGTTGACTCCAGTAACCACTTAACACCAAGTGAGCTGTGAGCTCGTCCACCAATCTAAGCAATAAAAAAAATAAAAAAAAAACATAGGACTTTTGTCTGTCTGTTCTTTTATATTGGCTATTTAAGAATTCCTTTTCAAAATCACTTGTTTCCTTTAAATGCATGTTATAAGTAAAAGTCTATAAGTCACTCAAACTGAAATGCTATTTCGGTCAGTAAGCTTACACAAACATACACAGCTTATTAATAATTATTAGTAACGCCATCTAACGTGAAATGGCAAAAATTATTATACAATTAACTAACAGTAGTAAGTAACAGGTGCTATCGGAAATGAATGAAAAATTATAGATATGAATTTAGTTATTAATCAATTTTATTCGAAGCGAAACCACAAACGGATTTCCCGAAGAAACGAAACGAGTGAATTGTGATAATTGAAGTGTACCTTAGGTATCGTATTAAATAATTTTAATTAGTAATTCCGTGGGAGTTTTTATTTATTCGGCTGTAACATTCAACAGACAAACAACTATTACAAACAAATATTATCAATTCAGGAGCTGTCCTCTCTCCTGCTCCTTTTACCCATATTTAAATTTAAAAATATTCACCTAAACTGTGGTTATCAGTAATATCTGCGGTTTTGTCTTTAGTGGCATTTTTTGTTTGTCTGGGAGCATCCTCATTGTTGGTAGCAGGAGTGCATGGCCGGTCAATGTTTGGCGTGTCAAAAGTGGCTGGGGTGTTATCTGTAATTTAATAAAAAAAAATATAGCCATAGCATCAATAACATAATATAACATAGTGCAATTACTGGTGGTAGGACCTCTTGTGAGTCTGCACAATTTCTGCCATGAAACACTAATGCGTTTCGGTTTGAAGGGTGGGGCAGCTGTTGCATTTATAGTTGAGACCTTAAAACTTGTATCTCAAGGTGGGTGGCGCATTTACATTGTAGATGTCTATGGGCTTCAGTAACCACATAACACCAGGTGGGCTGTGAGCTGGTCCACCGATATCAGCAATAAATTTTTTTTATGATTAATAAGCATGACTTTCCTCTTCTTCTTGCTGCATAGGGATCTGACATGAGTTGTACAACCAGCCACCTGCTCTATGACATAATTTTTTTGGTTATACAGTCAAAATCTGTTATAACGACATCAAAGGGACTGCTCATATTCAGTCGTAAAAACCGATAGTCGTAACAACCGGTGATGTTTAATGTGTATCGTGCAAGTATAAACAAATCGATAGGGAATTATTGGAAAAATATATTTACATAATACGCGATTTTTCTACAATATTAATTTGTTTTCTTTTTCTTTGCGACATTTTGAAAGTTTCATGAATAGCTCCACAAAGTTTTGGTGTGTCTTGTGTGTAGATAAGTAACAAACTAACTGAAGAGATAATATGAAGAAGCGGGCTTTGACTACCGCATGCACGTGTTTCGTTTCTAAGAATTAGAAAAGACCCTGCACTAAACTAAATCCTATTGTTTTCTTTCCTGATTTTAAAAGCCATTGATGACAAATGTGGATATCTATTCAAATTGTTTACAATACAGCTTAGCCGGTCGTTCTAACAGATCTAATTCTCCGAAATATTAGTTAAATTTGGTCGTTTTATGAGGTATGTCGTTATTACCAATGTCGTAGAAAGCAATATTTTTAATAAGGCGGTCATATGGCATTCAGCCGGGACCTTTTTCTAGGTTATTATAACCGGCATGTTGTATTAAACGATGTCGCAGTAAACGGTTTTGACTGTATATGCATATTATATGCAGCATATATCTATTGGCACGGTAGGCAGCGGCTTGGCTCTGCCCCTGGCATTGCTGAAGTCCATGGGCGACGGTAACCACTCACCATCAGGTGGGCCGTACGCTTGTCTGCCTACAAGGGTAAAAAAAAATAAAAAAAAATTGCAATGTACCATAGTTTCTGTTTTTTTGTGTTTCATTTGTTTTACATTTATTTATGTTTCTACAATTTGCATTTTATTATTTTAAACATTTTTGCTTTTTATTTGTTTTTCTGCAAATTCATAATTTATTAACAGACATATTTATTTACTGATCAATAAATAAATCACAGCATATAATTATACATAATTCAAACTGGTCAATACAAGATTCGGACACACATTTACTAACATCAATCACTAGGTGGGCTTATGTCTACATGGCTCACAGTCTACTCAGAGTTTATTAGTAACAAAAACTCATATACATGCTGTATGTGCTACCACTTTCATACATGTGGTCAGTCTCAATCATATTGCACTAGATGTCCGATCCTTCAAATTGGAACACATATTACTGCAGCATAACTATACAGGATTGTAACACCCATCCTTGCGGGCTCACAATATGTAAAACTCTTTGACTCTATTTACATAATAATTTCATACCCCTTACTATTTTGAAAACAACTGCTAAGTGAAATATTAGTATACTAACATGGTTCTGTAGGTGGTCTGTTCCCGCTATACTTTTGAGTTAATTCTCGAAGTCTCTGATAATCTTTGTTTTCTGTAGCCTCCAAGTATTCGTTCTGTGCATTCAGTTTCTCTAGGTCAGGGAAGAAATCTCTTTGAATAATTTTTGCTATGCCCTGAAAATATGGCAACAACACTTTATTGTTTTTTAATGTCTTGTTAATTATATAAATAATTAAACAATGGAACAGAGTCCCTCTCTACGTTTTGTGTTTTAAAATTCAAGATTTAAAAGAACATCATTAGAAATATAGCACAACTTGCCTCCACATAAGCATCTTCCTCTAAAACCTTGCTCTTCTTCTCTGACTTCTGTTTGGGTATTTTTGGTACTTTGAACACAGTAGTCTCAGCTTTCAAGAGCTTCATGTTCTGTAATGCTGCCTCTCCAGGCCTCATAGCGCTTCCTCCAGCAGACATTCTTTATAATGTTTGTTGCTTGTTTAATAATGTGCGTTTACAAAAATTACTTAAATAAACTACAGAAAGATATTTTTAGGGCTTTTAATGCCCTAATAGGTTCAATAATCTAGATTTCTTTTTATGTATTTTTAATTTCTGTGTTGCAGTGTGAACTGTTGTGACACATGTCACACAGTTTTGTTGACAAATGTCAATTTTTTAAAGTGATTTTATGACCTGGTAACTAAGACTTTTAAGTCGTGTCTTATTTTAATGTATATCCTTATTTTTATAAATAATGATAATATGGAGTGAAATGAAATGAAGATGATTAATTTGAGACATTAATCAAGTGGGATGAAATAAAATAAAATGAGATGAGATGATTTCACAGATATTAAAAAGTTAATAAACCAGCGTTATTACACATTTAAACCTGAAGAAACACTAAATAGACAAATTAAACAAATCCCACAACTTCACTCCTCGCGTTCCGACGGTGCGTACGGTAATCGCACGGTGCGTTCATTAGCGGACTCTTCTCCAAACGCAACATTGATATGCGAGCTGTTTCTGCAGCGTTAGTTCCGGGTCGGAACCCATATTCAAAAATCACTCGAATTTTCGAAGTATCCATCTTTCTTGTTTAAGCTGAATAAAAAAGCAACTGAATGTTTCAAAACATTTTTTCAAAAAAGAACCTCATAGGTACCATCTGAAAAAAGTTTCACTCAAAAATCTCAAACCATGAAGGCTCTATGTCAATTTGAAGTACCTATTACAATAAAACGGCACTTTAATACTTTAACCCCTATTGTCAATTATACATAACTAGCGACCCGCCCTCGCTTCACTTGGGGGACTATCATGTATTATTGATTTTATTGAATTTTCTTTTATACAAATCTGAACCTGAGAAAATGATGTAATATAGGATATTTTATAGCCGATTGTATTATATTGTATATTGATTTTTGAATATTGTGTAATACAACCATTAGGTTCTACCACGTGGCTCTCAAAGTACTTTGTCAGCACTGTCATTCCCCTATTCTCTATTTATTGCCTAGTCACTTCTGGCTGCTTCTGGCAATTCATAGAGCTACAAATGTACTTTCACCCTTTTAATTGATACACCATTTTAGCCCAAGAGCCCGCGACAGCCAGACCTTCGTTATTTTATAAAAGCTGAAAGTTTCTCTGTGTATGTCTCCAACACAGGTAAGAACGACCCGCGATTATAGAGTTTCGATTGTGGTTACTTGGGCAGGTAACAGGCAGTAAAGGTATATAAAATAGTACCTTAAATTCGTTAAAGTATAAAGGTTTTTTTTTTAATATTTACTCCAGAATATCTTTAGAAATCATGATATCCGTTGCCGGACACTTTTTCCANTTAAAAAAAAAACCTTTATACTTTAACGAATTTAAGGTACTATTTTATATACCTTTACTGCCTGTTACCTGCCCAAGTAACCACAATCGAAACTCTATAATCGCGGGTCGTTCTTACCTGTGTTGGAGACATACACAGAGAAACTTTCAGCTTTTATAAAATAACGAAGGTCTGGCTGTCGCGGGCTCTTGCTCTATTTCAATTGAAGCCTGCCAACGTATTTTGCAGTTTTTAAATATACTTACTTACTTTGAAAGTTGGCATAAAATTATCTTGAATAGCTTTTGTAGCTACAAATGACGTCATTTAAAAGCAATTAATGTATATGAGCTGGATATGAGTTAAAAATGCTTAGAATCTGGTCTATTTCCAATGAATGTCCTATATTCAAACCAATGAATGCAGTTCCGGTGGTAGTACCAATTGCGCCAATTTGCCTCAACCGCTCGCACAACACAGTCCAGGAGCTTAATTTTTATACTTAAATGCCTTGAAATATTGGCACACAACGCTTATTGGTCCAATAGCAACGGTTTGCCGTGAACTGTGAAATTCAGTTTTTTTTTACATCCTCTTATTATGTACTTTATCAACACAACCTCAACCGAAGCATTTGTTTTAAACGATATTCAGTTTTTTTACATCCTCTTTGGGGATATTTGCAGAAAGCATTCTGTCAATGTTATGTCAAACGTCATAAGCGTCTCATCTTGCTCATCTCGAATATATTAAGTCTATAATCTATGGTCATAAGGTTCCATTATAAAATTTCATGTGGTGATTATGTTTTTTTGACTTTCCTAATTTTCCGCGCAATTTTCTTATTTTTTTATTTCTTATGACCAAGGGAAATAGAGATTCATTTTTATATAAATAGATACTATTTGCGATAACCCAAAACATTTTTTGTTCAGGTTCAGGATTTTACTTGTGTAAAAATAGGTGTGACATAATTATGAAAATAATATAAAGTAACGTTAAAGCCAGATTTCAGATATCCATTGGGGCCCTTCTTTGTTTATTACGATATTATTTCTAAATTCATGCATAAATAATTATAAAACTTAATTTATTGCCTAAAATTTTATATAATAATAAATAATAAATAAATATTTACTAACAATCACGCCACGTTAACCGGCCCCGTGATAAGTTCGTAAAGAACTTGTGTTACAGGTACCAGATAACGGATATAAATGTAAGATTTTTATTATACACATACATATATTTAATATACATCCATAACCCTGGAAAATACATTTATATTTATCATACAAGGGAAGATCCCTTGGCGGGATTCTTATGGCATTTACATGTGTATGGCATTTCCCATTTCGGAACAAAATTATTTGCGATTAATATGCAGAAGATAATTTTATATTTTATTATTTTTGATAAAAGATAATAATATCATGATATAACTATAATACTCGGGTCACATTGTTGATATTTCTATCGTCACTTACTTACGTTACGGCTCGGCGCACCGATAGTTAATTTTGGACCTGGCGAGAAACTCAATCAAATCGCGCTGGGCGAGGTGTTGTGAACGTGTTAATCACCATCACTCATCACATCACCATTAATCATCACTACATAGTATAAAACAAAGTCGCTTTCTCTGTCCCTATATCTCTATGTAGGTTTTTTTTTTTTCCTACCTAAGCTGAGAGCCTTGAGAGGCTATTTCAGCGTAACCCTAACTTTTGTAGGTGAGCTCACGGGGCTCAAACCTGATGACGTTGCTAACACGAACCCTAGCAAGAGCCGTGCTTCGCAGAATCTACCACCGGATCGGAAACGCGACCCACTGAGAAGATCCGGCGAGAAACTCAGTGGGCTGTGTCTGAGAGTTAATTTACTCGTCGAGCCCTTCGTCGCAAGCGACGGGTTCGACGAGAACGGTGACCGGTGCTTGAAGTACCTAGAAGCACCGTTAGTGGATCGGGAGGATCCGAGATGACGTGTTTTGGGCGACGTCGACTGCTTTCCATTCTGTCGGGAGGATCGGGAATGTAGTTACCGGCGGCCACGATGAGAGGGTTCTCGTGTCGTGCCGCTTTATCGAAGTGGTATGTAGGTATGCTTAAATCTTTAAAACTACGCAACGGATTTTGGTGCGGTTTTTTTTTTTTTTTAATAGATAGAGTAATTGAAGAGGAAGTTTTTTATGTATAATAACATCCGTTAAATAGTGGAGAAATCATTAATAAATTACAGTTTCCGAAGCGAAGTGAGGGCGGGTCGCTAGTAATAGCTAAAAAGAGGGTAGAAGATTAAAACAAAACAAACATTTTAAAAATATAATTTACTTAATTTATGTAACTTAACTACTTGTTTTTATTTTTCTTTAAAATGTACGCCTTAATGTAAAAATCGGAGAATAAAAATAAAATAAATATATTATGTGGTAGGAATACAAATGACACCCATTTCGGATATTCGCACGAGGGTTCGAATAGAACGTGCCCGAAGTGTAGGATCAGCAATAAGAATTGTAACTGTAACAAGAAAAACGGAAAGAATTAAGGTTATATGTTTAAGGTGAAGTACAAAATCGTATATTTAAAAAGAGAAATCGATAGGTATTCATAAAAAAATGCTTTATTCAAACAATACATGGCCTTTTTTAAACAACAAACGATAGAAATTAGGTTTTTTTTTAATTTTCTGTGCAATGACACAGCTCTCGTCTAGTAATCTACTTTACCACTATGAAATTTGTCTCCATGCATTTGAACGTTTGTTAACCTATTTTATGCTAAGATTACACTAAGATACAGATTATAGATTTTTTCGTCTGGGAACTAACGTACAGCTGTTTGATGGTAGGTTAAAAGATTATTCTAGGTACGCGCGGACAGGTAGGCGAGCTCACGGACTTGACCTGGAAAAAATTGCTAACACCGGCCCTAGCAAGAGCAGTGCTTTGCAGAATCCACCACTGTTTAGGACATGTTCCGGCGGTGGCGGCTTTGCTCTGTCGCCTAGGTTGGATATAACTAGCGGCGGCCACGTTATGAGGATTTTCGTACAACGCCGCTTTGTCGAAGTGCCGTTCTGACGCTACCAAGACGAAGCTTAAAGTGAAAGCCAGAGTTCATCTATTCTTTGAATTACATTACTAATCAACTCCACCGAAATCTGATTTTCGTTTGTCAATTTCTTAACAGACTCAATTTTTAATACTTTTCTAGATTGATAATCATAATTTCCCGCCATTTTTAATTTAACCTACGTATTCATTACTGGTGGTAGGACCTCTTGTGAGTCCGCGCGGGTGGGTACCACTACCCTGCCTATTTCTGCCGTGAAGCAGTAATGCGTTTCGGTTTGAAGGGTGGGGCAGCTGTTGTAACTATACTGAGACCTTAGAACTTATATCTCAAGGTGGTTGGCGCATTTACGTTGTAGATGTCTATGGGCTCCAGTAACCACTTAACACCAGGTGGGCTGTGAGCTCGTCCACCCATCCAGCAATAAAAAAAAACACCTATGGAGTTTCTGTAAGTGCTGCATTAGTAATAAAACTTACGATTTGCAATTGCGTTATGTATTTCTTCCACCACTGCCGCACCCAGAGCGGCCTGATTATCGAGACCAGGTAGTAACTGTACATCACCGCGTGCACCAATGAGTTTATGAAACCCAGCATCACGCCATGACCGCCTGCAACAGGGAAAAGTCATATCACAAATACACTCGGCTTAGGTAATTTTGTACCTAATCATAACTACATTTACGGTTTCATCTCCCGTGTGTATTATTTTAATTTTATTATATTTATACTAGACGTTTCAAACACTGAACGGTTTTCGTCGAAATAATAAACGCGAGATTAAACCGTAAAAGCAGGCATTTAATTATAGGTATCTCAGGAAAACCTATAAAAATAGTAATTTAAAGTTTTATAAAAAAATTTTTGCTCGTTTGGCGCAAAGCTTCTGCCCACAGCAATGATACTGATTTACGACTACGACCACTCTGTTATGTTATGAGCGATACGTCAAAGAAAAATATTTAATTGTTATTTCACTTTTAGACAGTACATTTACAATGTAGACGCCTGTTGTTACACTAGTGTCGATGTTTTATTCGGTAATGAGGAAAATAATAACATTAAAAACACAATAAGGTTTAGCTGAAAATCTGGTCGGTTTTTTTTGAGTTTAAAAAGTGATTGTATTCTGCTTTTTTTTTCGTTCCGTTTTTAATACGATTAAATTACTACGTCATAGTACGACCTGTAGAGGGGTCTACGCCTCTACGAAATACATATCGATAAAAGAAGCTACGAGAATGATCGCGCAACACAAGTAAAATTCGGCCTGGAGTCTGGGACATTTTTTTTTTACATTTAAAGACTTCATGGTCATGCCGCAAGTAGCAAACACTCGGCTTGGCTGTGTCCTCGGCATCGTCGATATCCATGAGCCACGGTGACCACTTACCATCAGATGGCACGCATGCTCGTCTGTCTATCGAAGCACTAACAAAGAGTTCGTTCAAACAGACCACACAAAAAGGAAATACCTGGTACATATTTAGTTCCGACGAAACCAAGAAGACACATTCCTAAGTGATGGTACACGTGGAGGAACGTCACCTGATTGAACTTCTTCCGAAGCACGAAGAAGACCTTAACATGAAACAGAACAAGTCAGTCATCATTAATTAGGTTAAACGTTATGTCTAAGCAGTTGTGGTGGCCCGAACGCCTTGCCAGTTTCACCAGGACAGGTGGGTGAGTAAAGGCCCAGCCAGGAGGGGTGGGATTTGCTAACCACTGCCCGAGCTCCTCAACTCAAGAGCAGCTGCTTCGCGAATGAATCTACTACCGGATCTGAATCGCGACCCGCTGAGAAGATCCGGCGAGAAACTCAGCGGGCTGACGTATGGGTTAGCTTGCACGTCGATCTCTTTGTCGAGTTCGACGAGTACCTACGGTTACCGGGGTCCCTAAGCCTGCTCCTAGTGTTAGAGCTGAAGGCGTCTAATGCAAAGGTTATTGGTTCGGATGGATCCGTACAGACGTGATAAACAGTCTGTAATACGCAACAATATGCATGCCGTATTGCACGAACTTCAAAACAAACATAAATAATAATAAATAAATAAACCCTTTAAACCGAAATTGTTCATTGCGTAAGAATTCCATTTTTTCACAGTAAATATTGCTGATTGATTTCATTACAATATTGTTTTTTCTTTATTAAAAATGAGCTAAGAATGGTTTTTGTATTTCTTTTTTATCCTTAGACCGCATAAACCACCTGGTGTTAAGTGGTAACCGGAGCCCATAGACATCTAGAACGTAAATGCCGCCACTCAGCTTTAGATATGAGCTCTAAGGTATCAGTATAGTTACAACGGCTGCCCCACCCTTCAAACCGAAACGCATTACTGCTTCACGGCAGAAATAGGCAGGGTGGTCGTACCTACCCGCGTGGACTCACAAGAGGTTCTACCACTAGTAATTAGGCAAATTATAACTTTGCGTGTTTGACTTTTATGACACGATGTTATTCCTTCACTGTGGAAGTCAATCGTGAGCATTTTGTAAGTAGGTACGTATTTCATTAGAAAAATTGGTACCCGCCTGTGGGATCCAAACACCGGTGCATCGCTAAATACGAATGCATCGGACTTCTTATATTTTAGGCCACGACATCTTCAAAATGATAAATATGAAATTTTGTCGGGACTTTTACCACGCTACCCTTTGTCTGCCTCGATACGGGAACCCGCCACCTTAGACCTTAAACCAAACATTACGAAACATCACTGAAGCAAAAAAAAGTTCTTACCGTATCTAATAGGTCAATGATCTTAATCATGTAATACAACCAAACCCTGCTGACGACAATTCTCTCCAGTGGCGTGTCTTCTAATATTATCTTCTGACACCAAAGATTGTAATATCCTGACCAATACAACCTTGTCATGCACTGGAAAAAACACATTCAAACGTCAATCACTGTTTTGGTGTTCGAAATACCGAATTGCATAATTTAGACATGATCATCAAGCTTATATTTCGTTAGTATGTATTACTATGTATTGTGTGTTAGAAGAGATATTAATAAGTACGTCCATATTAGTTCCGTGTTCACATTCAAAAGGTTCGTTGCGTTACGAGATCTATCAGTTTGCTTAGTGCGAGTTTTTTAACGTTCTCGATAGCGTAAAAGTTAGTTCATATTTGTATGGAATGGGATCGTTTGCGTACGTTTGCCGCTAGGGGCGCTGTTCCAACTGCATACAAAATTGGGTTAACTTTTACGCTATCGAGAAAGTTAAAAAACTCGCTATAAGCACACAGATATCTTGCAGGACTTTTGTATTATTTTTGTATTTGCTGTTGTTGTAGACTTTTGTATTTGCGTTGACTATAATCGTGCTGTTTCACTCCTTGCGGGAGGCTCTAACGTGTAAAGTTCTTTAAGTATGATTAAGACAAATGAGGCGTATAAAATCAAAGGCAGCTAAATCCAATATTCAGGTAAACTACAAAAATCGGCCCTAAACACGTCATTACGGATCCTCCCGATCCATCAAAGTACTATTGCTCTTGCTAGGGCCAGTGTTAGCAACACTCCCGGTTTGAGAATCTGAAATAACTTTGTTCGTATAGCTACGATATTCTTTATTTTAAAACAGATTTCTAAAGAATGAGAATATTACTAATAATCTGAATTTTACATGATAAAACTTCGTTTATTAGTACTTAATACAGAGTAAATTTAACTTTTTTGAACTGAATTTGTTAGAGATTTAGCTGCATTTGTTATAACATGAAAACACTAATGCATGTTCAATTAACTAAACAAGAGAGAGCCATTGTTAATACATTTTACGACATTAAGTCGTTTAGCTGCCTTTGATTTTACAGGCCTCAAATATACATATTTGCTTCCTACATAAAAGTGAATTCAAGGAAAAAAATAATTAGAAATGGATTATGTCCCTGACGCACAGTAGTATAATTATTTTCATTCCTTGCGTTAAGAGACATATCGATACTCGTGGAATCGTACGTCTCGTAGACGCAAGAGTGGGAAGGTGGGGGGCGCGGCCGCTGCGTGACTCGATTTAGTATTATCATAGTATCGACGTGGGAAATCGCGAATATTTAAATTATTATAATAATAATGCTTATGCCGTCATACAAAGGTTGAAAAAAAATCTATTTTAACTTTTAAATATTCAGAACATGCTCAGTTATTGCTTCCGTACCCACTCCTCGTTTCAAAAAAGGTTATTAGTTTAATAAAACCATATATTTTTTTAAAGCATAACAGCCCAAGAACAAAAATGCACTGACACTCGAATAACTTTTCACTATTAGAAAAACTAATAAAATTAGATTTCATTGTATGTACTTCACTGACGTGGTTGCATGCTGTTTATTTATATAATACATTTGATTACACAATTCCTCGAAGGAAGATGTACAGATCAATATTTCCAACGTGGCAACGAAAAAGGCATTGTGTGGGTTGGACACACATTACAACGCTGACGCTGCTAAAAAAGCTAAAAGAATTGTTACCATTTGCGTGCAATTCAAATAATCAAAGTGTTTACGTAATAAAACTTTTTCAATCGACAACTGACATATTATTTTATTTCCATCACTACTTACTGCTCATATTGAACTAACTTCGATTGCGGTACGGGATACAACCCGGTTACATCTGATCTCTGGACATGGCGAATGGGAAACGGGGAGGGGCTTCAAATTCCAGCGAGGTCCAGAGATATTGTAACCAAACAATACAATAGCGGTAGCTATAAAGGTCACTACAACCCGGTTATATTATCTCTGAAACCAGCGAAAGTGCAACGGGGAGGGGTTTCACATTCCGGCGAGGTCCAGAAATATTGTAATCGAGCAATACAATAGTGGTAGCTATAAAGGTCACTACAACCCGGTTACATTATCTCTGAACCCAGCGAAAGTGCAACGGGGAGGGGCTTCACATTCCGGCGAGGTCCAGAGATATTGTAATCGAGCAATACAATAGTGGTAGCTATAAAGGTCACTACAACCCGGTTACATTATCTTTGGACCTGGCGAAAGGTCAACGAGGAGGGGCTTCACATTCCAGCGAGGTCCAGAGATATTGTAAGCGAGCAAAATTTTTTTGGTATTTGTATTTTATACTAATGTCATAACTGCGTGCGAACCTAGCAAAATATAGAGCAATAGGCTATCTTACTATATCACAAAAACTTCAAAATATATGTCATTCGTTTTTTGAAAGATAAATTATTTTCAATAAGTACCTACTGTATTTTTAGGAGACTGATTAGGTCTCCAACGCAACAAAGGGTAGGTTAGTTACGAGATATTTTATGTCCCCAAAGCCCCAGCTCTTTGAAAATGATAGCTCAGGGAAGGTGTTAACTGATAAACACTACATGGACCTTCAGAACTCAATTCACTTCGTTCGCTCAAACAAACAAAAAAAATATTCGTCTTAAATTTGCAAAATATATCATAAATATATTGGTGTTTGAATTTTTTGCTTCTTATGAATATGAATAGCATGTCGGAATGGAAAATTGTGAATTCTTAAATTTTAAGTGTATTTTCTATGTTGAAACTTTTGCCAATGAAAACCGGCACTGAAATTGCTTCGCTCTCATATCGTTTGCTGTCAATGTCAAATGTTTCTCACCATACAATCACGCGTCATCATCACACGCTTCGCTATCTCAGACAAGCTGAAAACTAATTGAATGTTTACACATAAATTAAACCAAATTATACTTGTCGTTAATCGCATATTTAAAAAAAAAAAACAACCTAAGTCTTAACAATTCCTTTTTAATGGCTTGTTTTTAACAAGTTTTTATTTTTATTCTTTTATTACATGTGCAATTTATTACAGCATATTTTAATGAACATAAGAATAGGAGAATCTATTATTTCGCCGTTGGATTCTCGAGATCAAGGCTGATTGATAGCTTAATTTTGCTGAGTTTTTGTACAAGTCTAGCCTTTTTAGTCCCCATCGTGTTGCTGGATGAGGTGGGCAAGCTGCTGGAATGCATTCTGGCAGCCCGCATCATCCAGCATCTGGTCGGGGTGGGACCCGATCTGTCGGCGGAGCAGTATGGCTTCCGAGAGGGCCGCTCAACGGTAGACGCGATCCTTCGCGTGCGGGCCCTCTCGGAGGAGGCCGTCTCCAGGGGTGGGGTGGCTTTGGCGGTGTCGCTCGATATCGCCAATGCGTTTAACACCCTGCCCTGGTCCGTGATAGGGGGGGCGCTGGAACGACATAGAGTGCCCCCCTACCTTCGCCGGCTGGTGGGTTCCTACTTAGAGGACAGATCGGTCACGTGTACCGGACATGGTGGGATCCTGCACCGGTTCCCGGTCGTGCGCGGTGTTCCACAGGGGTCGGTGCTCGGCCCCCTTTTGTGGAATATCGGGTATGACTGGGTGCTGAGAGGTGCCCTCCTCCCGGGCCTGAGCGTAATATGTTACGCGGACGACACGTTGGTCGTGGCCCGGGGGGGGAGTTTTGCTGAGTCTGCCCGTCTTGCTACGGCTGGGGTNAATGTTTACACATAAATTAAACCAAATTATACTTGTCGTTAATCGCATATTTAAAAAAAAAAAACAACCTAAGTCTTAACAATTCCTTTTTAATGGCTTGTTTTTAACAAGTTTTTATTTTTATTCTTTTATTACATGTGCAATTTATTACAGCATATTTTAATGAACATAAGAATAGGAGAATCTATTATTTCGCCGTTGGATTCTCGAGATCAAGGCTGATTGATAGCTTAATTTTGCTGAGTTTTTGTACAAGTCTAGCCTTTTTAGTCCCCATCGTGTTGCTGGATGAGGTGGGCAAGCTGCTGGAATGCATTCTGGCAGCCCGCATCATCCAGCATCTGGTCGGGGTGGGACCCGATCTGTCGGCGGAGCAGTATGGCTTCCGAGAGGGCCGCTCAACGGTAGACGCGATCCTTCGCGTGCGGGCCCTCTCGGAGGAGGCCGTCTCCAGGGGTGGGGTGGCTTTGGCGGTGTCGCTCGATATCGCCAATGCGTTTAACACCCTGCGTCACGGACCAGGCGTGATAGGGGGGGCGCTGGAACGTCATAGAGTGCCCCCCTACCTTCGCCGGCTGGTGGGTTCCTACTTAGAGGACAGATCGGTCACGTGTACCGGACACGGTGGTCGGACATATCGGGTATGACTGGGTGCTGAGAGGTGCCCTCCTCCCGGGCCTGAGCGTAATCTGTTACGCGGACGACACGTTGGTCGTGGCCCGGGGGGGGGAGTTTTGCTGAGTCTGCCCGTCTTGCTACGGCTGGGGTGGCGCATGTCGTCGGCAAAATTAGGAGATTGGGCCTCGACGTGGCGCTCAGTAAATCCGAGGCCATGTGGTTCCACAGGCCCCGGAGAGTGCCACCTGTCGATGCCCATATCGTGGTTGGATGCGTCCGTATCGGGGTTGGGGTGCAGTTGAAGTACCTCGGCCTCATTCTGGACAGTCGTTGGACCTTTCGTGCTCACTTTTGGAACCTGGTCCCTCGTCGGGGGGCCTGACCGGGTGACGCGCCGTCTCTATACGGGGGTGGTGCGGTCAATGGCCCTATACGGGGCGCCCGTGTGGGGCCAGTCCCTGGCCGTGGGGGTGGCGAAGCTGCGGCAACGGCCGCAACGCACCATCGCGGTCAGGGTCATCCGTGGTTATCGCACCATCTCCTTTGAGGCGGCGTGTGTACTGGCTGGGACGCCGCCTTGGGTTCTGGAAGCGGAGGCGCTCGCCGCTGACTATAAGTGGCGGGCTGACCTTCGTGCCCGGGGCGTGGCGCGTCCCAGCCCCAATGTGGTCAGAGCGCGGAGGGCCCAATCTCGGCGGTCCGTGCTGGAGTCATGGTCCAGACGGCTGGCTGATCCTTCGGCTGGTCGTAGGACCGTCGAGG